TTTCAGGATCCCACACCTCTCTGTTTACACTGTTTGTAATAAAGGGCAGCAAGGAAAGCTGCCTGCTGCAAGGCACAATCCTTCCTGCAGCTGAGCTGGGCTCTGGAGAGAGTTGTCACCACCGAAGCACTGGGGCCAAAGGCAGAAGGGAACACTGTGGGGTTTGTATTCCTGTTTTCTATTGTTTCATTGCTGTCCCCTGGTGTGAGTGAGGTGGAGTGCTGGAGCTGTGGGGTGCTGAGAGGTGCCCCAGGTGTGTGCAGGGCTCACCTGAGTGAAGATGGGGCTGCTGCTGTGCTGAGACAATAAATGTTCCCCTTGGATGTCTGCCTTGGGTCCTTCAAGCTGTAACTGAGCTCTGTAGATGGGAACATTGAGAACTTCTCTTGTTCACACTTCGAAATGTCCTGCAGGTAGTACCTTTAATGGTAAAACTGCTGTGGGTGGGCTCCACCACCCTCCAAGGCCTGAGCCCCCTTTCCCTGGGGAAATTCCTGATGGTGCCCATCCTGAGGCCATTCCTTCTCCTCCTGTCCCTGTTCCCTGAACAGATCCCGACCCCCCGGCTGTGCCCTCCTGTCAGGAGCTGTGCAGAGCCACAAGGGCCCCTGAGCCTCCTTTGTTCCAGGCTGAGCCCCTTCCCTTTCATTCTCCAGCCCCTCCTGGGGCTCCATTCCCTGCCCTGGACACTCTCCAGCCCCTCAGGGTCTCTCATGGACACAGCCCTGGATGTTCTGTAGCACTGCAGGACTTTTTACTGCTCCTCACTAAAATCCCCAGGTTTTGAATGTGTCCAAATGAACATAAAACACCCTCAGCTCCCCAGGTGTGGGAATTGCCTTCCAGCTGGAGCAGGGGTGGCTCAGGGGGCTCAGGCCCAGCTGCTCCTCCCTCTGTCCCCAAGGAGGGGAGCAGAACCTGGTCCTGGCTGCAGGGAAATGGGAAAGGGAATGGGCTGGGAAAGGGCTGGGGGAGTGGGGATGGGAAGGGCGGGATCTGTCCTGTGGGAAGCAGATGGCAGGGCCTGTGTGTGGTGACAGCAGGGGACACCTGGAGCTCCAGGGCCACTTCTGCAGCTCCTAGGGTGATGGAGCTGCTGCTGCCCTCACCCCTGCCCCCTTTTGTTTCCATACATTTTGTCCTTCGTGCATTTGTCCTTTCATCCGTTTCTTCATGCATTCATTCTCCATGCATTTATCCTTCCACACCTTTTGTCCTTTCATCCGTTTCTTCATGCATTCATTCTCCATGCATTTATCCTTCCACACCTTTTGTCCTTTCATCCGTTTCTTCATGCATTCATTCTCCATGCATTTATCCTTCCACACCTTTTGTCCTTTCATCCATTTCTTCCATGCATTTATCCTTCCATGCATTTATCCTTCCATACATTTTGTCCTTTCATCCATTTCTTCCATGCATTTATCCTTCCATACATTTTGTCCTTTCATCCATTTCTTCCATGCATTTATCCTTCCACACATTTGCCCCCAAAGCTGCCAAACCTGAGTTTTCTTCCCCATTTCCATTGCTCCCTTTCTATATTTGATATCTCCCCTGGCTGCAGCTGGACCAGGGGAGCCCCAGTTGGTTGCTGCCCATTTTCCAGGCTCATTCCTCCCTTCCCCACCCTCTGAAACCTCCTTTCTGCCAGGAAAAAACAAAAACCACCCGAAAGCCTTACAATAAGGTGACGTTTTTATTATTTATACAATAAAGAGACTTTTTAATGTTATTCAAAACACTTTTTTTTTTGGAAATACTGAAAAAGGTGGGTACAGCAAAGCCGAAAATGGCTCTGCTGCACTGCACAGCATCGGTTCAGTCCCTGGGCTCCCTCTTTGCAGAGCAGCTGCCAAATGCAGCAGCCCCACAGCACGGGCCAGGCCCTCCAGGGCACGGGGAGGGGACAACCTGCATGTGCCAGGGGACAGGAGCTGATTGCACTCAATCAATAGATTTAAAATAGAATTTTTGAAGTACCTTTTTGCACATAAAATGAAGCAGCTTTCAAGTTCAGTAAGTCTTTATACTGCAAAAAACATGAAGTACATTCACAATCTATGTTAATAAAGTAGTAAATATTTCCTCATTCAGCTTTATTTACATGGATACTGGAATTCAACTGAAAAGTACAGTCATCTGGAATATAGCAATCTTTGAACACATACAAAAATGACCATTTCTGTATATAATTTAAGCTCAAAATCACAATTATCTCAAAATATTAATTACAATACAGCCATCTCCATCATAATTAAACATGTCTTTTATAAAATGGTAAAATCTTTACTAAAGGAAGCTGTTGGTTCTGAACTGGATACAGTACTCACAGGTAGAAAACCGAAGTGATGAGCGAGTGCCCTGCCCGGGGAGGAGGAGGAGGAGGAGGGAGGGGACACAGCCACCGCCACCCAAGGGACACAGGGCAGTGCCAGGAGTGCCCGGACTGGTGCCAGTCAGTCACTTCCACTAGATCAGCTGGAATCAGCCAGGGAGAGGATTGGCAAAAAGCTTTTTTGTGGGGGGGTTCATTTCTTTTTGGTTTGAAATTCCGTGATTTGCAAGTGGTGCCATTTTAGGTTGGGTGGTGGTGCCCTGCAGGCCTGGCCCCGGTGGCACCACAGCTGTGCCCACCCGTGGCTCCAGGGCCAGGCCAGCTCCCCGTGGGTCTCTGGGTCCGTGTCCTGCCCAAGCTGCTGCCCAGGAAGCTGTGTGGGCACAGGGGCCTCCAGGGACAGCCCTGGAGCCGGGCACCTCCAGAGGGATGGCGAGGGACGGGCATGGGCAGGGAGCTCCAGCTGGCACAGCATCCCCAGTTTCCTTTGGGAGTTCTAACTGTGACATGCCACCAGTTCACAGAATCACAGGAGGGACCTCTGGGCACCATCCAGCCCAGCCTGGGGCAGGGGACACGGGCACGTGTCCGGGTGGGGTTGGGATGTCCCCAGAGAGGGAAGCCCCAGACCCTGCTCAGGGCCCTGCCACCCCAGGGAAAGAAGTTCTTCCTCGAGCTGAGGTGGGGCTTGCTGTGTTTGTTAATGGCCAAACCCTGCCGGGGTGGGTGCTGACCCCGCAGCTCTGTCACCCCCTGAGCCATCTGGGGACCTGTCCCCAGCCCTGCTGCTGTGGGACGGGCTCTGCCAGGCCAGGGGTCCCACAGGACATCCCTCACCCAGGGCAGCTCCTGGGAATAAATGGAATAAACACCCTGATCCCCTGGGAGCGGGGCCTCCCCTGAGCCCTGCCCTCAGCTGATCCCATTGTGGGGGTTCATTTCCCTGGGTTTGCATTCCCTGCGCTTGCATCCCCCCAGAGCTCTGTGCACACGTCTGTGCAGAGGCATCTCTGATTGCAGCAGGTAATCAGTGCTGAACTCCAGCAGAGAGGGGTCCCAGCATCCCAGGATGGGCTGGAGGAGAAGGGATCTCAAGGCCCACCCATTCCACCCCTGCCATGGCAGGGACACCTCCCACTGTCCCAGTGTCCAGCCTGGCCTTGGCCACTGCCAGGGATCCAGGGGCAGCCACAGCAAATCTGGGAATTCCATCCCAGCCCCTTCCCCACCTTCCCAGAGAACAATTCCCAATTCCCAATGTCCCATCCAGCCCTGCCCTCTGGCAGTGGGAGCCATTCCCTGTGTCCTGTCCCTCCATCCTTGTCCCAGTCTCTCCCCAGCTCTCCTGGAGCCTCTTTAGCAAGGGCTTTAACCAAGAGCTTTAACATCTTTACACTCCAAGTGCTCACTACCAACAGCAAACCAACCTCCTGGACATTTCCTACTCAGATTTTTCCTGGATTTCCTTGGCTCTGCTCTCAGCTGCCCCATCACCCTCAGCCTTGTCCTGCCTGCTCCCTGTGTGGAGCCCCCTGTCCCCTCTCAGGGCTGGCACTGCCACCAAACACAGACGCAGACGTGGGTGTGTTAAAAAATACCTTGGAAAACATGAGACCGGATTTGAGGATGTTAAATGGTCGCTGTTGGGAACAACTGGCTGAGAACTTTCCTGGTTTGCCATCACCTGGGTAGGAACCGTGAGCTGGCACTGGGAAAATGGGAAATTATCAGGGGTGGGGGCTTCCCTGGGCCTGCAGCTGCCCAGGTCCCACAGCCAGAGAGAGAAGGTTTGGGAATTCTTGGAGAAGGGGAACATCCCCGTGGGCTGTGGCTGCACCCTGGGCTGTGGGATTTTGGGTGGGAATGGTGCAGGTGATCCCAGAGCCAGCTGTCCCTCAGCCCCTGGCCATTGCTCCAGGGCACTGGGATCCCCTGAAATCCCCTGCAGGGCTTTCCCTGTGTTTTCCCATTTTGCTGTCAGGGATAACCAGGCTGGATCCCGGCGTCCCTGAGCAGCAGCAGCTGGGCACGGTCTGGGCTTTGGGATTCTCCCTTGGGAACAGCCCCAGGACCTGGACAGGAGGGGCTGTCCCTGGCCCTGTGCTGGGAATGCTCCTGCCGGGCTGGTCTGGGGTCACCTGCTGCTCCTGGGATGTGTCTGTGCCCGTCCCTTCCCAGGACCCAGCTCAGGATCCCAGAAAGCCTCACCCATGGGAATATCCCGAGCAGGGCCTGGAGCAGGGGGGAAAATACACAACAATGTCAATGGGGAGTCTGAAATGAAAAATTAACGAGTTAAATTAGCAGCAACAAAAGGAGTTTTACTGCCACCATCACAACCTTCCTCCATCCGTGAGCCAAACCTGCCTGTCCTCGGTGTTCTCCTGTAGTGTGTGCACATGGAATCGAGGGGAGAGCCAAAGCAAGGGGAGTTAACCTGTCCTGAAGGGAGTCACCCCACTCCAGAGGGAGATATCCCATTCCAAAGGGAGTTACCCCATTCCAGAAGGAGTTCACCCATTCCAAAAGGAGCTATCCCATTCCAGAAGGAGTTCACCCATTCCAGAGGGAGTTATCCCATTCCAGAATGAGTTCACCTATTCCAGAATGAGCTAACCCATTCCAGAGAGAGCTATCCCATCCCAGAATGAGTTCACCCAATGCAGAAGGAGATATCCCATCCCAGAATGAGTTCACCCATTCCAGAGGGAGCTGTCCCATTCCAGAACAAGCTATCCCATTCCAGGGGGATTTATCCCATTCCAGAATGAGCTATCCCATTCCAGAGGGATCTACCCCATTCCAGAAGGAGCTATCCCATTCCACAATGAGTTCACCCATTCCAGAAGGAGTTATCCTATTCCACAATGAGTTCACCCATTCCAGAGGGATTTATCCCATTCCAGAAGGAGATCACCCATTCCAGAGGGAGTTGTTCACCCATTCCAGAGGGAGCTGTCCCATTCCCACGTGGGCTCCTTGTCCCGAGGTCCCAGAGTTACAGCTGGAGAAGTCTCTCACCCTGTGTAGCGAATTGTTCCTGATCCCTACGGAGCCAGCTATACACACGGCATATGTACAGGTATTTTCATAAGGCATAGAATATCTTTGCATTGAAAATAAATGAACATTATTAAATTTAATTTAATATATACTTTCTTTGAGGTGTTTATGAAAATATTTTCTTCTCTATACTTTCGTATGCGACATGATAGAAATATTTCATGGGAAGTACAGGTTAATATATTTCATCTTTATAAAGGCATATACAACTTTGAGGCAGTGTTTCTGATGGACAGCAGAATTCCTAAAGGATTTGTATGTGCTTCTGTGTTTTGAAATCATATGAAATTGACTTTTAAGAAGGAACTTGGTTAAAAAAACGCACCAATGCACAGCCAGAGGCTGACAAGTAAAACTAATACGGAGCCACATGAACAATATATTTATAGAGTTAATTCTTATATTTTCTCCCGATGATTGGTACTAACATAGAGTATTATACATTTGGCACTACCGTTTGCCATTGGTCCAGCAATTGGCAAAAAATTGGTTTCCTATGTATAAATCCTTTTGAACATTAGATCTGGCTAGACATATTTACTATTTATAAAAAAATATTTAGACAGTAAGCTCACGTTGGATAACTAAGTCTACTGTGTTCTGGAAACTCTTCAGTAGGAGCACAGCCTTCTCGTGTTCCAGGTGTACAAAGCTGTGTCCGTTTGCCTGTAGCAGGGAAAACACAAGGGAAGAAGCTTTAGTGCCTTGTTTTGGGGGTAAAAAGGGCTATTTGGCAATTAAAAGCAAGGCTGAAATAAATAATGAACACGTGAGGGTTTCTCATGAGCACAGAGCACACGTAGCTCTTGTCCTGTGTGGGATGGCTTCGGGGCTGGGCTGGGGGCTCCAAGGAGTGGTTTCATCCCCACTGAAATCAGGCTGTGACTCTGGGACGGCTCTGGGCTCTGACCATGCTGAAAGCCTCAACACAATAAAATACCTTTCCTCTGGGAAAGAGGAATCCAAATTGCAGGCAGGGAGGATTCCAAATGCACCGACAGCTGTGCCAAAACGAGGCATTAATGGAATCCCAGAGTTCTGCACTGAGGGATGGGAGGGATCCGGAGGGAGATCCTGGGGCAGAGTGTGGGGACAGTGGGCCAAGGCTGGGGGGAGATGGATCCGAGCCCCAGCTGGTGGCACAGGCAGGGACAGGCTCCAGAGGGAGGATCTGCCTGGAGAACCTGGAATGAGGTGCTGGGGGGACAAAGGGGAATGGCTGGGGCTGATCAGGGTGTCCTGACACAGCCTCGAGCTGCACCAAGGGAAACACAGGTTGGATATCAGTAAAAAGTTTTTCCAGAAAGGTGATAAAGTTCTGGAATGGCTGCCCAGGGAGGTGGTGGCCACCAGGGCCAGCAGTGCTTTGGGCACCAGCTGTAAATCAACACTGAAGTCCCCCAAAGGCCACAGCAGCTCAGCCCTGCTGCGAACAGCACGCTGTGTGCTCCCAGGCTGAGCTCTGGGCCCAGCACCCCCAGACCCCTACCTGCAGGATTTTGTCTCCGGGCTGGAGCAGGCTGGAGGCGGGGCCGTCAGGCTGAACCCTAGTAACAAAGATACCCTATAAGTCAGAAGTAACACAGGTTAGGATGCTTTCTCCAAGAACTACATCCCAAAAAACACGGGGCTCCCTCCCTGGCTGGGGCCTGGGGGCTCTGCACGCCCTGGAGAGGGGCCGACACCAAACTGGTTTATTCTGTTCGCTGTCAAACTCCAGTCTGGGAGTGGAGCAGCTCCCTGGGACCTTCAGCACTTATCAATAATTGTGGGTCATTTTATGTCACAGACGTATTTTCTGAAAAATCCTTTGCTAGGATTTTTACTCCTGAGAAGCCTCAGAGGAAAATAAAAACAATAATTATCTGCTGCTGGGGAATTCAAGGTGCATCTGTGATTGGTCCATGTGAGTTGTTTCTACTTGATGACCAATCACAGGTCCAGCTGTGTTGGGACTCTGAGCAGTCACAAGATTTTATTATCATTCCTTTCTATTCTTTTCAAGCCTTCTAACGAAATCCTTTCTTCTATTCTTTTAGTATAGTTTTAATATATAATTTTCTTTTAATATAATATATATAATAAAATAATGAATCAGCCTTCAGAAACATGGAGTCACATTCTCATCTCTTCCCTTGTCCTGGGACCCCTGTGAACACCACCACAACCTTACACTAAAATCCACATCACAAAGAAAGTCCAGTGTGAACAGGGCAGGAATGGCAGCTTGTCAGGAGGGAAATCAAAATGGAGCAAGTGTTAATTATTGGAATGATGTGTATAACAATCAGTACAGCAATCTTTGCTTCCTCTAGGAAGCACAGCTTCAATTTCATTATCTGAAATATTTATGGGAGTTCCCACTGTCCCTGCAACGTGAATCCAGTATTATCCAAGAACATCAGCTCCAGGAATGTGTTCAAGGTCTCCTTTTCCAACAAACTCCAGTCAGTTCCATGGCACCCAACACAAACCCACAGGGGCAAGAGTCCACTTCCCACTCCTACAGCCCCGGCAGCTGGGACTCAGCACACCTCGGAGTTTTCGTGGCCTCCTTCTATTGCAAATCGATTTATTTAAATGTGCAATTCCCAGAATGAGCCCTGAGTGTCCCTGGCCAGCACCAGGTGTCAGTTTTAACTCCCAGCACAGGAGACATCTGCTGCCATGGGGTCTGTAAGGATCCAGGGATTTCCAGGCTGCTTTTATTTGACACAGCAGCTACAAACCCTGGAATTTCAGCCTCAAGGGATGATACTGTACTTTAGTATAGTAAATATAATATAATATAATATAATATAATATAATATAATATAATATAATATACTCTAATTAATTTACTAAAAATTTAATTGGGGTCTAAGGCAACTCTTAAAAAATGAGAGAGACAATTCTCCAGAAAACAGCCCAAAAAATTTTCTTATCCAGGGAATATGGGCCAGACACTCCTGGGATTGATGCTTGAATCCCTCATCTCCTTTAACTGGGAAAATAAGTAAACAACACTATGCTAAAATAAACAAAAAACAAAAAATCCACCCAAGAACAAAGCTAAGAATGGGGGGAAAATAATTCAATGACGCCAACAGAGAGGCACAAACATCCCCTCCTGTTCTCTGCCTCCACTCTGTGACCTCTCAAACCAGGAGCAGGGAGAGAGGAATTTCACACTTACCTTATCAGAAGGTTTGAATGGATTTCCTTGTCCGCTTATTCCACCACTGATACTAAAGCCAAGGCCAGGATTCTTCTCTATCCTCACACAAAACTAGGCAGGAAAAACAGGGATGTCAGCACTGCACCCTGCCCCAGGCAGGCACCTCCTGCCCTCACACCCCATTTCCCTGGAGGAGCTGAGCCCCGGCACTCCACAAAATGGGAAAAGCCACTGGAATATTGCTAAAATATAAAAATATTACAAAATTATAAAATATATAAGCTGGAAGAGCTGGCAGCATTTTCCCACACTGCATTGATACCACAACATTCCCTGTGGTTCACAGATTTTTGCATGGATTTCAATGTTCTCTTTTCAAGGAGGAAAAAACCCCTTGGATTTGTGAAAGAGAAGTTCACCCTGGCCAAGTTTTTCACTTAAACGTTGGGATAAACCCATCAGTGAGGCTTTGCCTGGTGCAATTTTATTTTCCCAGGAGGAGCCAGACGTGCAGCACCCCTGGGACAAGTGCCCGTGCCAGGCTGGGGCACTGGGGCAGCAGCTGGGCTGTGCTGGGCAGGTGTGGGCAGAGCAGGAGCCCTGCCCTGCTGGCCCTGAACGGGGTCACTGCGCAAAGGGCAGAGGCTGAAAGTGAACCCAGTCTGACCCAGGAATGCCAGCTCTGCCCAGGGACCTCAATTCCAAACGGTGGCACTGGGTCAGTCTGGGAGAAAATGGGTACTGGTGGCTGGTGCTGGGCAAGGGATGGACCCAGCCTGTCCCCAGTCCAGCCAGAGCTCCTCCAGCCCAGCCAGAGCTCCTCCAGTCCATCCAGAGCTCTCCCAGCACAACCAGAGCTCCTCCAGCCCAGCCAGAGCTCCTCCAGCCCAGCAAGAGCTCCTCCAGTCCATCCAGAGCTCTCCCAGTCCATCCAGAGCTCTCCCAGCACAACCAGAGCTCCTCCAGTCCATCCAGAGCTCTCCCAGTCCAACCAGAGCTCTCCCAGTCCCAGCTCCTCTGGACTCCCCAGTTCAGCTCCCCCCATGGGCACTCTCTCTCCCATGGGCACTTTGGAGGAGCCCCTCTGGGATTTCTGGCGCCCAGGAGCTGGCCCGTGCCCCCCGGTGTCACCGTGACATTTTCTGAAAAATCCCTTCACCAGGATTTCTTCTCCGGGGAAGCTTCAGCTTCTCCCTGTCTTGCTGCTCTGGAATGTGATTTGGACAATTGCTTACCCAGCATGTGAATTGTTTTAACCTAATGACCAATCCCAGTCCCAGCTGTGTCGGGACCCTGGTGAGTCACGGGATTTTATTCTTCATTCTTTGCTAGCCTTCTGTATGTATCTTTTCTCTTTCTTTAGTATAGTTTTAGTATATAAATTCTTATAATAAATATATAATATTTATAAAGATTAATATTATAATATTAATAATATTATAACATAAATTAGAATATTATTAATGAATATCTTAATTATTAACGCATTCTATTTACTATATATTATATATGAAATATTAAGAAATATATATTTTTATATTAATAAATATAATGTAATATAACAAATATAATATATGATATATAATGTATAATATAATATAATATAAATATTATAAATATACATTATAAAGATACAATATATATAATTATATTTATTATTATATATAATAAATTATATATTTATTATATATATGTATATTTATAATATATTTTATATTATAATATATAATTATATTTTATAATATAAAAGATATAATAAATATGAATATATAGTAAAGGAAATATAATATAATATAATATAATATAATATAATATAATATAATATAATATAATATAATATAATATCAGCCCTCTGAGAACCTGGAGCCAATTTCTCATCTCTCACCTCGTCCTGGTGCCTCACCACACCACAGCCCGGGCTGTGCCCCGTGGCCCCGAGGCTCACCTGCTCCTGGTAGGCGTCGGTGCTGCGCTGGCCCTTGGTCTGGATGAGGCACCGCTGGGGCTGGGGGGCCCGGGAGCCCTGCGAGGACGGGATCTGGATGGGCAGCGGGGGCTGGTACTGCTGGATGGTCACCTTGTTCATGCCGCCCTCGTACTGCTGCTCCCGGCTCCGGTGCTGCAGGCTCTGCGAGCCCATCAGCGTCTGGATGTGGCTACCTGCCTGTGGGGAGCAGCGCGTCAGGGACAGCCTGCCCCGGGGCCCCGCTCCCTGCTCTGACCCGGCCCCGGGCCCCGGAGCCCCGTTCCCTGCCCCGGCCCCGGGCCCCGGAGCCCCGCTCCCTGCTCTGACCCGGCCCCCGAGCCCCGCTCCCTGCTCTGACCCGGCCCCCGGAGCCCCGCTCCCTGCCCTGCCCCGGCCCCCGAGCCCCGCTCCCTGCCCTGCCCCGGCCCCGGCTCCCGAGCCCCGCTCCCTGCCCTGCCCCGGCCCCCGAGCCCCGCTCCCTGCTCTGCCCCGGCCCCCGAGCCCCGTTCCCTGCCCCTGCCCCGGCCCCCGAGCCCCGCTCCCTGCTCTGCCCCGGCCCCCGGGGCCCCGCTCCCTGCCCTGCCCCGGCTCCCCAGCCCCGCTCCCTGCCCTGCCCCGGCCCCGGCCCCCGAGCCCCGTTCCCTGCCCCGGCCCCGGGCCCCGGAGCCCCGCACCCTGCCCTGCCCCGGCCCCCGAGCCCCGCTCCCTGCTCTGACCCGGCCCCCGGAGCCCCGCACCCTGCTCTGACCCGGCATTTCCCCCTGCAGCCGGGAAATGCGGGGTTCTGGCTCTGCTCATCCCCATTTCCCGCAGATCAGGGGACAAAAACTCGGCTGTTGGGCCAGCTCCATCCCACACCATCAGTTTCCCTCCTCCTCCTGTGCCTGGAGGCATCTCTGGGAGCAATGGCTTTTGTTTCCACCCCCAGCAATCCTCCTGCACTCAGGGATCCCTGGCCGCATCTCCAAGGATAAAGCTTGGAGCAGCAGCTCCTTGGGACGCTCCTCTGTGCACGGTGGTGTCACTCACTGCCGGCACTTCAGGAGGGATCTCCTGACAGTGATCCCTGTGCTTATCCTGGCCCATTCCTGCAGCTCCTCCTCCAACAGGGCCGTGAGGATTCTCCAGTCTCCAGCTTTATGGTCAGAGCACTGCTGAGCAGAGCTGGGGCTGGGAGGGGCAGCCAGGAGCTCCAAGCACTGGAATTCAATGCCCACCACCACAGAAGCACCAGAAAGAGACCCTTTTCCAGGGAGTTTATCAGCAAAAGGGCTGTCTGTGCCTGTGCAGGGCTGGGCTGCAGCCATCCCACCCCTCGTGCTGTTTGTGGACTGAGCATCATCCCTGGGGTGAAACCTTGGGACGAGACCCTGAAGGAGCAGGGCAGGAGAAACCTTGGGATCATCCCTGGGGTGAAACCTCGGGATGAGACCCTGCAGGAGCAGCCCTGCCCAGCTCTCTGTGCCCACTGCCCACACCAGAGCCATTCCAGATTCTGTGCTGCTTTAGTGTGTGGGTCTGGGTTCACATTCAGGGATGCTGAGCTGTGTGCACAGAGGAGGGAGACAAAACAATTCCTGCTCCAGCTGGGCACCAAGGACAAATGATCCCAATCTCAGCCCAGGAGCACAAACCCCGTGGGCTGGAGAGAGAAAAACAAGCAGGGTGGGACTGCAGGGGCTAAAGCTGGAATGGGACAATGAACTGCAAGGTGCAAATGGAGCAGAACTGGTCCCAGGGACAGAGCCCGTGCCCCTCGTGCATTTTGGGGCCATTTTGGTTGATCTTGGGTGCAGCCCAAGGTGCATCCATGGAGGAGATGCTTGGAATAAATCCCTGCCTTATTCTGGAACTCTGCTCTGCGGCAGCCTGCACAAGGCATCAGGTGCCCCATGAAAACACTGCCCTCAACTGCAGCAATTCCTGCTTTCAGGGTTGGAGCAGCCCTGGGTGCTGCCCAGAGCTGTCCTGCTGTCCCCAGAGCTGTCCTGTTGTCCCCAGGGCTGTCCTGCTGTCCCCAGAGCTGTCCTGCTGTCCCCAGGGCTGTCCCCAGGGCTGTCCTGTTGTCCCCAGGGCTGCCCCCAGGGCTGTCCTGTTGTCCCCAGGGCTGTCCTGCTGTCCCCAGAGCTGTCCTGCTGTCCCCAGGGCTGTCCCCAGGGCTGTCCTGCTGTCCCCAGGGCTGTCCTGCTGTCCCCAGGGCTGCCCCCAGGGCTGTCCTGCTGTCCCCAGGGCTGTCCTGCTGTCCCCAGGGCTGCCCCCAGGGCTGTCCTGCTGTCCCCAGAGCTGTCCTGCTGTCCCCAGGGCTGTCCCCAGGGCTGTCCTGCTGTCCCTAGGGCTGTCCCCAGGGCTGTCCTGCTGTCCCCAGGGCTGTCCCCAGGCTGTCCCATGCCTGCTGTCCCCCCTTACCTTCTTGGTGACGGTGTCGGGGGGCACGTCCCGCCGGCCCAGCGGGTAGGGGTTCCAGGGGCTGCCCACGGCCACCTCGTCCTGCCCGTTGTCCAGGAGGCTGCTCTGCTGCGACGGGGTCTGTTCACAAAGGCAGGGCAGCCCTTAGTCACCAGCACCAACCTCCCACACTCAGCCACAACAGCCCAGGCGCCCGGCCTGCCCAACACGGCCGCACCGGGGGCTCTCTGGGGCAAGCAGCAGGGCTTGAGGGGCTCAGGACAGAAACAATGAGAATAATGAATGGTGAGAGAGAAGAGAAAACTCATTGGACGGGACTCGTGACTTTCAGAGAAACGGATTTTGGTGAAATTCCAATGTTTAAAGAGCCTGGCGTTAACTCTGGAGTTAGGACTGGCTCCCTGCTCATTCCAGCAGCAGGAACTTTGTCAGGAAGGATTTGCCACCGAGGCAAAGGAGCTGTTTGTGTTTTCTGCAGCAAACATCCCCTGCTGGCAGTGCCGAGGCTGGGCTGGCTCCGTACGCAGCTCCCAGAACCTCCTGCCTTGTGCCAGGGGCGTTTTTTGTACAATACTGACCTGGAATTCAATGTTTGCCTCATCATGAATGGTCACAACACACTGGGAAAGTTTCCCCAATAATTCCCTTTTCTCTCCTGTTCCATGTTTCTTCCTTGTCACTTTCCCCCTGGTTGTTTCATTCCTGTTTTCAGGATTTTGGAGGGGGTTTGGACTTTTCCTGCCCCACCCTGAGTTTCCATTATCTGTCCCTCTATTTCTCCACCATTACTGGGAGTTTTCCTAACACCTTTTGGGTGTCAGACTTCCCAAAATTCCAGCACTGTCCTGCCACTGACAGCACCTGGCACACTTCAGTGCTTATTGATTAATGGGAATCTGCAAGGGAGCAAAAATATCTGTTCTTCTCCTCTGCCATTCCAGGCATTTCTTCTCCAGCTTTGAGTAAAAAAAAAAATAAAATCAGGATACACTTCTCTAGATGGATGAAGGATTAATCAAATTTCCTTTAAAATGTGAAAGGTGGGAATTTTTCCATTAAATACTGTTTTTAGACAGAAGTTGAAAAGTAAATAGAAGGAAATGGTGATTTAAATCACATCTCTGAGGTGAAGTGAAAAAAGTCCAACCCTGATTATTTAAAATGAAAAGAAACTTCCATTATAATTCTTCCATCATTCAAGAAATCTTCTAGAAAAATAATGGAATTTGTGATTTTCCTTCTATGAAAAACCACTAGAAAAAAAAACATTTCCCCAGTTTAAAGCCCAGGATCTCCTTGCAGAGCTTTCTTTATCCCCATTAAAAATAGAAAAATGGAAAAATGAGCAATTCTGTCCAGAGCCGCCCTGGGATCTGCTCACACCCCGAGGGATCCATTTATGGGCCCCTCTGGGTGTCCTCCCTCTGAGATTCCCAAGCAAGGTGGGAATTCCCATTCTGGGAATGGGCTGCACCAAACCATGAGCTTTTAAAACCTTTCACTGGCAGCCAGACATGGAAAGGATCCCTCTGGAGAGAGCTGGGCCTGACCTGCAGAGGGGAGTTTGCACTCCAGAGGGAAAGGGAAAATGCAGAGAGAGCTCTCAGCTTCCTCCAGAAACAGGGAAACCCCGGGATTTCATTTGCTGCAGCAAAAGGAATTTGTCCCCAAAACTGTGGTTGTTTTCTGAGATGGGACAGGCTGCAGCCCAGCTCCACTTCCAGGAAATGTGGGGAAAAGAGGAAATGCAGCACTTCCCACATTTTCTGCAGGGGCAGATGGATGTCATGAACATTTTCAAGGCAATTCATTGTGAAGGTTGGTTTCCTGACAGCCAGAGCTCACTCATTACTCTCTTGAATCCAGGCCACGGGAAGGAGGGAGCAGAAGAGGCAAGGATTAAACGGCTGTGGCCTGGATTCTTTAGGAAATGCAAATTCTGTGGAAGGTGCGAAGCAATAAAATCAAACAACACTAAATATACATGGCATTTTTCCAACAGTCATTTCCCCCTGCAGTGACCTTTCCCAACAATAATTTCCCCAAACAGTACAGTGAGAGAACAACCCCTCAGTGCAGTTCAGCATCACAGTTTCTATGGACATGGAGCAATGGAATGCTGGTGAGAGAGAAAAGCAGAATAACCCACGTCAGACCACACCCCAGAATAGGTCACAGAGCAGATTCCTGGGTTTCCTCAGACATCCATCATTAATATCCACATTCACCTACAGCCTGAAACCCTGGCAGTGCCCAAACCACCTCACTCCCAACGTGTGGAGGGAACCAGCACCTCTCTCTGGGGTTGATGGGTTTTTCCCAATGGATTTTCCAGGGACAGGTGACACGTACCTGAGCAGACAGACAGGTCTGGGAAGCAAAGACAACACTGGGGCGTCCCTGCCCAGCACACACATCCACGGGGATCCCCTGGGAGCCCCCCAGCCCACCACAGAGCAGCACAGACCCAGAGCAGCACGGGGGACATGGATGGAGGTGACAGGAGATGGAGGGCTGGGGGACACTGGGGAAGGCCTGGCACTGCTCCCCCTGCCCTGGATTGCTGGGAATTCCAGCTGGAGGTGGGCAAGGGGAGCAGGGCTGAGCTCTGGGCCAGCTCCTGCTGCTGCTGCATCGTCCTGCTCTCCTCAAACCCCTGGATCTGAGCTCTGAACCCTTGGGAGGTTTTGGGAATTGCTGGCCAGGCTGTTCCACAGGGCCCAGCCTGCTGCTTCTGATTTGTCCTCTCAGCCCCTGTGCCAGGGCAGGGAGAGGCTGAGCTGGGCCCTCAGGATGCAGGGAAAGCTCTCAGCATCCTTCCCTGGCACTGAGAATCCTGCAGGAATGGCCCTCTCTGCCTTGTCCTGTGTGCCTCTCCCTTCAGGTATTCCTCAGGAATACATGGTTTTGTATGTCTGTACTAGTCAACAATATATACATAATAAATATAAGATAAACAGTAAATAAATGAGGGAAATATTCTCTTTTTTAGGTGTTACTCGAAGTTTGAAATGGGCTTGGGTGTGGTAACGTGTTCAAAACCCATCAGGAATTACAGCACACCCAATTATTGCTCAGATACTGAAATCCCTGTCTCTTGGAGCCTGTATAACATTTCCACACCCGTTTTTCTAGGATCAAACAGTCCCAGAGCAAACCACGTTCCCCACTGAGCAAATGGCAGCGCTGGCGTGTGTGAGGAGAGCAGGAGAGCAGGAATGACGGCCAGGGAGCCCAGAATCCAAAAAGCAAGGCCAGCAAGGGGCAGAGCTGCGTCCCTGCCAGCCTTCCTTTGTGGAGTGGGCATCCTCAAAGCAGGAGGAAGAGGCAGAAGCTAAACCAGGAGGAAGCAAGGATCATTAATTAACCGGGAATGCCGGCAATGCTGGCTAGCCCATACTTACTTTCGGTAGAGGTAGCTCTTGAGGCATTTGGTTTTCAAATTTAGATTTAGGCTGCAAGTTTAAAGTCATGCTTCGGCCGGCATGCATGGCTGAAACCCCTCCAGAGTGCAGCATGCCAAGGCTAACTGTGTGGTGTTTGTAAGCAGCGCTCTGAGTAGAGGAAACAACCACGGGACACATATGAACACACATGCTCAGAATTAAGTCTCACACATACATGGTTAAGTTCACAGAGTTTTAGTTTAAGCCAACAAACAGTCCCGAGTCTCGATAGCTCCTCCAGGCATGCACTGGTCACACACAGCGAGTACATTGCTCCTCGTACAGAAAATGGGCACCAGAGAGGACTTCCACGCTGACAGCACAAAGGGGTGGTGGGATCTGCACTTCACCTCGTACAAATCTCGCTTTTGCAAAAAAAATGGCCAAATTCGGGGCGGGCTGTGCAGCCAGGGCTGTGCCTGGCGGGGAGGAGCGAGTCCTGCTCCCCAAAAACCTGGCTGGGCAGGGCAGGGACACGGGTGCTGTGCCCACCCCAGGGACAGGGGCTGCTCTCCAGGGCTCCCACCAGTCCAGCCCAGCCCAGCTCAGCTCCTTGGAGCTCTGCACCCAGCAGGAACCACCTCGCAGGAGTTAGGGACAGCCACCAGAGCCAGCTTTCCAGGGTGAAAGCACCCTTGCTACACGTTGTAAACCAAGTGTAAAGGTGTTCCTTAAGCCAGCAACACCTGGCAAGGGTTTGTTTGCGCCAGGAAGGGCCCTGCTCGGGGTGCACTGGTTTCCCTGGGTAGGAGGCAGTTCCCACTGGGTTTACACAGCACAAGGAAAAGAGCTGAGGGAGGAAAACGCTTCAGCCTTGGAGCCCCCTTTTTGAAGTTTCCCCATTTGATCCTTAAGGATAATTTAATATCGTCACATCCCAGCGACTGGAAGGTAAGGAGAATATTAACACCAAACTCAGGAGCCTCTAGCATAAAGCATATATGGACACATTTGGCAATGACCCCTTATGCATTTCACCACAGGAATTTGTCACAACCACTTCAGATCACGGAGTAAATAGGATTCATGGATTAGGTCATTAAATAGGTAATGACTGAATCATGCACTAAAGTACCCTTTGGATAGAAGGCAAATCAGCATAACTTCCTACAGCTAAAAGGAGTAATGATCACATTCCCATCAGAACCGTGGCAGTGGATACCCAGGGATATTTCTCAGTTATAGACACTTTTAAGCCCCCTGCACTAACAGTGACACCAGAGCTAAAATGCATTTTATTACTTATTCTCTTTTTCCTTTATTCCCTTTTACTGCCAAGACGTGCCCAGCACCTCTCCAAGCTCTCGGTCCTTACTGACCTGGTGCCTCCAGCAGCGCTTCCACGGGCAGGGGAGAACCTCAGGGTTCCTCCTGGTTTTGGGCAGAGCTGCAGGAGTCACCAGCCCAGTGACAGAGCCCCTGGATTCAGCCAGGTTTCAGAATCACCTCCCCAGTGACTGCCCCAAGGAACGGCACCGGCGTGAGGCCTCTGGGTTCCCCCACACCCGGAGCCTCCGCCCCGGCGGCCGTCCCGAGGGGCACCGTCAGTGAGGAGCCTCTGGATTTTCGGGGGTCCCTCACTCCAGCCGAGCACCCCCAGGGCCCTCGGCGGGCCGGTCCCCCTGACACCACGGCAGGAATTTCATCCCTGGGAATTCTGGTGGTCACCACTGCACGTGCAAATCGTTTGACAGAGCGAAACACACAACTAAAGGCATTAATTGCAGAGAAGTGCCAAACATACCCTGTCTAACCTTCTAGCTTCTATATGTCTAAGTAGCTGTTGTCTCCAGTCAGCGGGCATTTTAGCACAGCTCTCATTTCCCTTCCCAGGGGGAGGCCTCGGCTTTATATCACTGCTATCGGAAGGCTTGTCGCCATAGTTACCCAAGTTATAGTCTGACGGAATCTTTTCCAGCAGAGCTGCCATGGTGGGCCTCGCTGAGACCGGCCGCGTTTGGGCCGTGCCGTAGCTCTCTGTGCTGTAGCTTCGTGCCGACAGGGGCCTCCTTTGCGTGAGGTTTTTAACTGGGAAGCTCCCAGTCTGGGCTTTCACTTCCTGGTAGGAAGGGTGCTCGTCTTCGTAGCGCCCGTTGCGCTTGAGGAACTGGGCCTCGGGCACGGCCATGCTGCCCTGGCGCTCCGGGGCGCCGCGGAACGGGGCCCGGCCGTACCTGTCCGCCCCGGGGGGCAGCTCCTGGGGCTCGCCCCCCCTGCGGAACATCGACATCTCCGCCGAGCTGACCAGAGAATCCGCCCTGCGCAGGAAGCCGGGGCGCGCGGCCGGGCCGGGGAACGGGGCGGCCGCCGGCTCCTCGCCCACCGAGGGCTGCGAGAAGGAGAACATGGGCTCCACGGGCGCGTAGCCGCGGTAGCCCCGCGGGCTCACCAGCTCCTGGGGCAGGCTCTTGGCCGGCTGGGGCAGGTACTCGGCGTTGAGCTGGAAGGGCGGCAGGAGCCGCTTGTCGGCCGGGAGCTCCACGGCGCCCTGGGGGTTGAAGCTTTGGTCGAACTGATAAACCTTCTTGGTGACCGACGCCTTGTGCTGCGGCTGCACCTTGACGCTGCCGTAGGTCAGCAGCTCGTCGTCCAGCATGGGCACGGACTGGCTGCGGGACATGCTCAGCACGCCGTGCTCCGGGCCCAGCAGCTTGTCCACCCTCTCGTGGGGGCCCACGGTGTCGTTCCCGGATGCATAGTTTTCCAGGGGGATGTTGTACACCTTGTACGCACCGATGTCGATCTCGTCGATGCTCTGCGACTTCTTAAACTTGTTTGTTTTTAAATCCCTCATCATGGGGGAGAGCCGCTCCGTGCTCTTGCTGATGGAGATGACGTTTTTGGAAGGGTCCGGGCGACAGTGCACGTGGGAATAGACGTTTGTGAGGCTCCTGTTAGCGTTGGGGTCGTGGTATTCCCACGGGATTCCTGGAGTGAAAGTGCTCGTCATTTCGGGAGACTCCTTGACGTGATCTTTCCGCTCGGGCAAAGGGCTGGTGTTGGGGGTGCTTTCCAGTTTGGAAGGAAAAGCTGTCCTGTCTTCAAAAGGACTGGGGGTTCTGGTCCAATTTTGCCAAGGGTTGGGAGGAGGCACTTCAGAGTCGTGTGTGTTTCTGAGCGCGGGCTGCTCCAGCTCCAGGGGGATGCCCACGATCCTGTCCTGCCGGATCAGCGGCCGGCGCCCGTGGGCGGAGGAGCTCCTGGATTTGGTGCTGAGCAGGGGGTTGGTGCCGGCGTTCTCTGCCGCGCTCTCCTCGGCCACGAATCCCGTGTTGTCGTAGTGGGAGCCGTCGTTCCAGCTGTCGGCGAAGGCGTCGCTCAGCGGGCGCCGCTCCGGGCGCGCCGGGACGGTCCCGGCCGGAGCCGCTTCCCGCTGGCTCAGCAATGGCTTGGTCTCCAGGGGCTGTGGGAACGACTGGGCCAGCCTGCAAAGACAAGAGAGGGGAACAAGATCAAATGTCCTCTGTCCCGGCACGCCAGCGCTCATCGTCCTTGGAAAGCAGCTCGGCTTCCTCCCGTCTGCGCTCTGGCTTTGGGATCGCGCCGGGAGACTCCGGGGATGCTTAGCACGGAATATTCCCCGCTGGAAGGGCCCCAACAAGGATCACTGAGTCCGGGAATCAAACCTGCCCCCTTGGTGTTTTTAGCACCGCCTGAGCTACTCTCAAGCTGTTGGGAGCTCCGTGGATGCTGTGCCACTGGCACGGGAACGGTGGCAGCAGGTTTCTGCCCCGGGGCACAGGCTCTGTCAGGACACACACGGAGAAGCTAAGAAGTCACTCAGAGGCCTGGCTGGCTCCATGCTGTGTTCCCAGAAATCCTGCTGAACAGGCTTTCCTGCTGTAAAAATAATGGATGAGTGTAGCAGAAGGTTTCCCCACTTTTTAACCAGACACCACAGGCAGTTTTTTTGCCTGTTCCCATCCAGCTCTTTAAGGGGCAGAACTGTGGAGGGAACAATGTGAGGGGGTTTAGGGCAGGCACAGGCTGGTCCTGGAATGTTTCCAGGGCAGCTTATGGCTCTCCAAGAACCTTTTTGGAGGGCCAGGGCAGAGGGAGCTGGGACAGAAATAATGGGACACCAACAGCTGCAGCTCCATCTCCAGGAGCTTTAATGCCTGGAGATGGCACAGAGCTGAACCCACCAGCTGTGGGATTATGGAATATGGAGAGTGGCCATCTCTGAACAGCCAACAAGGGACAAAAACGTGGATTTTTAAACCCAAACGCCCTAACGGGGTCGCTCTGAGGGCCCAGAGAGGACAAAGGGGAAGCAGAAGCTGTGTCAGGAAAGATGTCACACCTGTTCCCCCACAAAGAGTTATTCACTGCTTCTTTAGCCGTGGTCTGCAGGGAGCCCATTTTTACGTGCGCGTTGGAGGACCCTGAGGAAGCCTGGGAAGGGGAATAGTCTGAGTAAGTGCCTGAGGAAACGCTGTTATTCAGACAATGGATCTTATCTGCTTCAGACTCATCTGTCGACTCTGAAACAAAACACAGCAAACGCTTTCAGGGGCGGCACTCGGGAACGGAACACCAGAAAATCACATTTTAACTTAAATCTGTTATTGCATTGCATTGGGCTGTACTGATACGTGCACAAATGCCCACAGGCTATGGTTTACAAGCAGAGGCGGCACATCCCCATCACAAGGTTTCATCTCAAAGGCTGCAAATCCATCAGTACCTTTCTTGTCTTTACCCAGCAGGACGAGTTTGGGCGGGTAGAGCGGCGTCTCGGGCATGGAAGGACGGAGCTCCCCTATCCTCATCTCGCTGGCAGGGTGTCCAAAGGCATCCTGAGGGACACAACGAGGCACAGTGAGCACAGGGAACAGCAGCACCTCAACCTGCAGCACACAAACTGCTCACAGCCTTCTCCTCATGATCATCAAACACCCCAAACCCACCACACGGGCAGTGCAGTGCAGGAGGTTCTAATTTGTCAGCAGAGAGTTCTGATTAATCCTCCTCAAAATTAGGGTGATGTGCTCGTCATGGAGATGTGGACAAACCAGATGGAACTTGCAAGATACATCAAGGCCCTGTAAACATTTTTGAGGAAGTCAAGGTCACCAAAAACGCTGCCAGCAGAAAGAAACAAACACTAATTGAGTGTAAACAATTGGTATTTCAGAGGGAGGATTCCTCGCTCAGTTATTTCTGGTGAGCCCTTCCAGAGATCCAGCTGTCCCTGGAGCTGTACTTAATTAAAATGGCTTTGTCTCTGAGGAGTTTGTGGCTAAATTAAAATTATTTGGATTTAATAAACTTCTGCCCGAGGGTTCAGCACACCTGACCTTCACACAGGCCCTACAACAGAACGTGTGCTGAAAATAACCCCAGTTAAACTGGGGGAGGAAAGTGGGACTCGTTCTTAGAAAGAGAAATTTTAAATTAGGGCAGTTAAGCCCTTAGGGTGGCTGGGAGGGAATGAAGGCACCAATGGGAATTTTGGGGCTTTTCTCATCCCTGCAGAAAGCTCAGAGATGAGGAGGGTGGGGGGACACGGCTGGGTGACACAGGAGGGTCTCTGTACAGATTGTGAAGGTTCTCCAGTGAGTTTGGAGAGGGAAGGCCAGAGGGAGGGATGTAATAATTAGAGAAACAATTTAAACTGGAGTACCCAAACCAAATCTGCATTGCTAGAATGTTTAATGCTACAAGGTTTAAACCATTTTCTTGTTTTCACTTACAAGGAGGAAACTTTCAGGGGTTTGCTGCCATTAAATACCTTTTGTAGTGACAGAGATTTGTAGAAGCATTTGCCATGTGATTTATCCTTGGAGAATTTAGTTCTGTTTGCACCAGAGCCATTTCAAACCCTCTGTATCTGACGTTCTGCTGGAGGCAGGACCTTCTCAGAAAGAGCCATCTTCAGTTTAATCAACGCCCTCAGGGCTGATATTTAAGGCAGTTCCATGGTGATTCCCACATGGAGTGACCCAGCCCTCCCTTCCCCATGCAGAGGATTCCCCTGGTGCTCCACAGGTGCCCAGTGACTCCCAGTCCCCTTTCCCAGTGCAGTGGGACCAGCTGGTGGGAGCCCAGTGCCGGGGGCAGTGCGGGTGCAGAGCAGATGGTGAATCTCTCCACCTGAGCAGCCCAGGTGTGCTCACCTGTGCCTGTACCTCTGAGCCTTGGGCTCTGTGTGAGTGCAGAGCAGGGCAGAGGGTGAATCTCTCCACCTGTGCCTGTACCTCTGAGCCTTGGGCTCTGTGTGAGTGCAGAGCAGGGCAGAAGGTGAATCTCTCCACCTGTGCCTGTACCTCTAAACCTTGGGCTGTCTCCTCCCTGCCCGGGGCCTCCAGAGGTGATTTCGGGCTGAGCTCAGGGTCAGGCTGGGGGCTCTTGGGGGGTTCTTTGGTTTCTTTAGCTTGGACCTGGAATCCCAATATTGTGCCATGAAACTTTCAGGAGTTTTAAGCTCAAACTTCCCTCCCTTTGCTGGAAGAGAGGAAGACCCAGCAGTTCCATTTTTGACAAGATTATGAACTTCAGCTGCATGAAGTTCCCTTTACTTTACAGGATTTTCCTTTTCTTTTCATCCCCCAGCCCAGCTATCCAACACAAACCAATGCACTTTTGAAAGAACCACTCTGGCATTTGTGAATCTGCCATGAATGTGTGAAATACGCTGTAAAAACCCCAAATCACATTCCATTTAATTCCAGTCTCTTTAAGAGGACCTTTTTCTTACAAGCTGAAGAACAAAAAGCTCACTAATAGGAAGAAAATTGCAAGGAGAAAGGGAAGAGATAAATGCAGTTTTGTTGAGTAGGTGCCTGGAGATTATTCCTCAGGATTTATTCCTCAGGATTAACTGGGGAAGGATGCAGGAAGAGGGCAGAGAACTGTGGTGAGGAGCAAATTCCTGGTACAAACCATCAAAACAACTGGCAAGAGAAATATCACCAAATATTGAGGCTGAGGACGTAAGAGCATTAAATTATATATATATATATATATATATATATATATACACATTTATATTATACATAAACATTAATATAATATATAAAATATATATAATATATTTTTATAATATATAAAAATTATATATATAATGTTTATATTATATATAAACATTATATTATATATAAACCTTAAATTAAATTATAATCCAGAGGAACAGAATGTTTGGAATGCTCAGACTCCTGGAATCTGCCTGGAGCAGCCCAGGGCTCTGGGAAGGGATGAGGCAGAGGAAATGTGGGATATTCTCAATGCAAGCCCATCAGGAACAGGAACTGTAAAGACCTGACTTGCTGATTTTGATACTCCTCATTGTTTCTCATGGAAAGGCAGCACAACTCCCTGAATAATCTCAGACTCCTCTTTGGCCAAAACTCACATCTTCCAGAAAGAATTAGAATGATGAGGAGGTTTGTTTTAATTGATGGTTAATCAAGACATTGTTTGCTTATTGTGAATGGAGGTGAAGGATGTACAGTGGATTTGACATGCAGCTCCTCATTCCAGATGCTCCCTTTCATTATTTAGAAACAGTTTCTGAAGAGACACGTGCAAATTAATTGCAGGAAAAGCCAAAAGAGATCAGAAACCAGCTTATCTGAGGATGAAAAGTGAGCAGTGCACCTGAAATTCAATTACCTGGGATCAAAAACTGCCTTCAGCCTTTAGCTACATCACAACACACCTGCAATTTCAAAGTGCACTTTAACTCGAGGCTTGAGTTTGTCTGCTAATTATCTGCAAAGCAAATGGAGCTTAATTATGTTTTATTTCATGGGTTACAACTGAAATCAGGCCAATATTGTTCACAAATCCATTCACACTCTGCCTACACTTCCCGCGTGCTTTATCCTGGTGCAGGAAGCCAAGGAGAGGGAAATGTGTCTGCACCACCCTGATTGGAGCTGAAAACCCCCCTAATGTCTGGGAAGGACAAGATCATCCCTTTTCTTTCCCTCAGCTGCTGGAATAGCTGTGCTACCACTCTTGACTCCATCCCAGGGAAACTGAAATCTGGAAAATTCCCCCATCACAGCTCAGGAGCTGAAATCTCATCTCTGCTGGGGACAGGGGGAGCTGCCAGCTCTGCAGGGAGGGAACTGCTCTCCCATTTTTCAGTGGCACTTCAGGAGCCACCCTGGGCTCTGGCTGTGGCAGCTCAGCTCCTTCTGCAGAGTTCTGGGAGATCCCTGTACGCACACAGCCCCAGGGATGTGTCCCCAGCTGCACCCCACGTTTGTGGTGCCACTGCCGTCTCCTCCTCCCTGGGGATGGATGCATTCCCTGGCTCTGCCAGCTCCCAGGACCCTGCTGGGGCTCAGCTCTCTGGGATGTTTGTGCTCTCATTGAAAAAATTAACATTATTTTAACAAATATTAACAAACCACTGATTTCTGGAGGTTACATCGCCAGCCACGGCCAAACAGCTAAAACCTCTGCCAGGCCACATGGATCAAATTCCAGGTGGAAACACGTAGGGATAATGAAAACCCACAGGAAGCTGTTGAGAATACTCAAGTTCAAATGACAGATTATACAAAATAAATTCTATATATTCAGCAACAAGAGCAGAATGTCAAGACTCGTGGCCTGAGTCACCAGCTGGTTCAAGGACCAGATTTACACAGTGAGAATTTAATGAGTAAAAAGGAATGGTGGTGGAATTGAAGATTTCAGATTTAGATGGAAACATGAGTGATTTAACTTAGCTATTTTAGTTGAAATTAAATATTTAACTTCAATATTTTAGTCCTAATTGAAATCGTGCCTAGAGTTGAAGTCTTCTGAATCCAGCTTGAAGCGAAAACTTTGGGGGATTATTTTTTTAAGGAATGAAAATGTTTGACTGCAAATAAAAGACAGCACTGGGAGAGCAGCTCCAGCTGAATGTGTAATATTTGTGCCAAAGCCATGGAAATCTGAGGGAGAACAATTCCTGCCCTCAGGACTGGCTACGGACAAGGATGTTTCAAGGACAAGGAGTTTATCACAATGTTCAGATAACAAAGGAGCGAAAAAGAAGGAAAATATTTGTCCTCGTTTATTTCTTTTCAGCATTAAAGCTTTGAAAAGGCTTTCAGGAATGCTGGCATTCCTGCAGACCTCTCCAAAAGCTTTTCAGCTCCCATGGGAAGGGATTCCCCTCCGTTGGTGGGGTGAGAGAACCAAGCTCCAGCAGGGCTGCAGGATTTAGGAATTCAGCTTTTAGGGACGAATCCTGGGGTTGAATTTGTCCCTGTGCTTGGCGAACACTCCAGGGAGAGCTGGATTCTGCAGCTCACAGCATCCAGGGCTGCTCCCTGCACTGGAAAGAGCCCTCCTGCTGCCTTCATTAACTCTGGGCAGGGTTAATTGAAGATTTCAGATTTAGTAGATTTCAGATTCCTGCTCCTGGCAGCAATCCCAAGGAGTCTCTAACAGATTAAATGGGATGGGATGGAAGTGGTACCTGGGCCCATCCTCCTGTCATGTGCCAACTTCACATCGTTGAAATTGAACAGGGTGCTGGGAGAAATCCACAGCAAAATTCCCAGCTGGGGAGATCTCAACCCAAAAGTTCAGCAGCATTGGGAAAAACAGCAACTCAGTCTAAAACTGGGCAAAACTCAGCAGCTCAATCTGAACCTGAATGCAACCAGCAGCTCAACATAAAACTTTACAGGTGGAATGTCACCATCATATTTTCTGAAAAATCCCTTCACCCAGGATTTTCTCCTGGGAAGCTGAGAAGCCTCAGAGAAAAAGGAAAACACTATTATCCCATTTGCTTCTCCTGTGTTGTGCTGCTTTGGAATGTGGTTGGAGATTGCTTATCCAACATGTGAACTGTTTTGACTCAATGCCCAATCATGGTCAGGCTGTGTCAGACTCTGAGGAGAGAGTCACGAGTTTTCAATTAGCATCTTGTGAAGGATCCTTCTGTAAGGATCCTTTCTCTATTCTTTAGTATAGTTTTAGGATAGCATTCTTTTACATAAAATAGTAAATAAGCCTTCTAAGAGCATGGAGTCAGATCCATCATTTCCTCCTTCATCCTGGGGACCCAGCAAATACGACAATCCCTGCCAGCCATGGGAATGCCTTCCCAAAAATCCCCCTGGGAGGGTGGGATTCTGCTGTGGCCAAGGGGTGTTTGTGCTGATTGTGTGTCAGTAAGGATCCCAAATGGATTTATTTCTTCTCCCCCGTGGAACCCCTGGAACAGCAACTGTTCAACTGCCAGGCCCTGCGCAAGCTGAGCATCCCCGAACACGACCTGAGGTTCCCAGCGGATCAAACCGTCCTGTGGGGCTCCAAAACCATAAAAAAAAACCATCTGGAATTCTGGAGAGGAGCAAGGTGCTTGCCAGTACCTCCACGGAGATCTCCTTGGGGGTCAGGGGCCACTTGTGCTCGTACTTGTCCTTGCCCGTGGGGTCGGCGCTGGCGGCGGGCGCCGCGCTCTCGGGCCGCACGCCCAGGCTGGGTTTGCTCACCAGGTTCTGCACTGACTTCACCATGTTCTTCAGGTCCTCGGGGTAGGGCGTGGGGTAGCGCTTGAGGTTTATCTCCACCTGAGCAGCCAGGGAAGGAGGAGGCAGGGTTAAGGATGGAGGCAGGAATGCAGGATGGAGACAGAAAGCCTGGTTGGGGTTCGGGGCTGAGGGCGCTTCCCTCGAGGTTTGGGTGATCTGTCTGGGGAGTTTGAGGGGCTCAGGACTGAAATTTGCTCATTCCCTCTTTGGCAGCATCGAATGCAATCCCAGTGCCATAAAATAAGGATAGGAATGGTTCCCTGCAAGCCCATCTCCCCCCCTGGGAGGGTGTTGGTAGCTCTGCACTTTGCTGACACATCCCATCACACCCTCCCAAACAGCCCTGCTGTAAATGCAGAATTAATTCAGCCACGCTCCTGTACTCAATTAATGTGAATTATGGATGGCAGCTGAGAGCAGAGCTGCTCCTCTGGGAGCCATTGCCTCCTGGAGATGGATGATGCTCACACCCAGCCGGGTGTCTGGGGCTCTTTCTGGCACGGGAGCACAGACCCAGAGCTCTCCAGGGAGTGCCCAAGGCCTGACTGAGCTCTGGCTGACTGACAGACACACAGATTTCCTGGAAAACCCCACCAATCTGAACTTCCCAGCTTTCCCAGAGCGTCTCAGGGTGACGAGGCTGGGAAACTTCAAATTCCTGCTGGTGATAAAGGATCTGGAGTTTAACATTGTTTAGGTTCCACTGTTTTATTGTTTAATAATAGTTTTTTTCCACTTTTCTTTAAAAAGGTATTTTCTCCCGAACTGGTTGGAGGAGAGGCCAATTGAATCTGCTTTTCTAGAGGAAACCCTTTAGGGGTTCACTCCCAAATTTGCCCTAAACCAGGACAAGCACACAGCAGCTTCTACCTGCTGGTGTAGGTGAGCTGGTTTGAATAGCTCCTGCCAGAGCTGCAGGATTTAAATTCCCAACGAGCAGGAAAACCACAGTTTTGGGTTTAGCTGGAAATGGTCTGTCCATAGGAATATTTCAGAGGCAAAGGCATGATTGATTGGGTAAATAAAACTGTGTCAAGTGCTGGCATCCAGATCCGAACCAGGAGAGAATAAACGTCAGGGGGTAGAACAGAAAATGTTAAAATCTGTGAGTGGGATGTCACTTTTAATAAAGAATTCCAACAGAAAAAGGACAGATAGGTCTGGGAAGCAGCACTAAAAGCTCTGCTTCAATTCTGGCTGAATGCAATGGTGTTCAGGGGTGGCCCAGTGAGGCACTTGGCGTCTCCCAGAGCCCAGGCCATGGTGCGAGGGCAAGGCACAGAGCAAATCCTCAGGAACTCCAGCAGGGAGGAGGGACTGGAGGCTGGGATGACACAGACAACCCCAAACGGGGACTGCAGCAGGAGTTTCCCCTCCCTGGGAGTGTTAATAGCACACAGCCAAACTCCTGCAGCTCTGCTGGGGGACAGCGCCAGCAGTGGGATGCGGATCTTTCCCTGACGGATCCACATTCCCCGTCCCAGAGGAAATCTGGACTCCCTGCCAATCCCTTTCCAGGGCTACATCAAAAGCAGCCTGACACCAAGAGAGAATTTTCAGAGTTCAAAATCATTGGTGGAATAAAAAGCTATTGAACAATCCCAATTATCAAATCTATTTTAACATCTGTCTGGCTGAAAGTTCAGTTTCCTGATGAAAAGTGAAAACTTCTTCTGCTGTTATGAAATGCTGCAGTGTTGGTGGTTACTGCCTGTTGAGAATTTATAATTATTTAAATTTACCCCTAAAAGCTCTGGTGGAACTGCTAAAAATGTTCATGTTGAAACCTCCAGCCATGTCACCCCCAGGGAAAATTCTGATAAAAGTTGTGGAACAACAGAAAACTTTCCCAAATGCTGTTTTCCATGCGTGACCCATAAACCTGCAATTCATCCAGGGTAAAATTCCACTTTAATCTATTTATTGTGAGGTGAAGGCTGCTTTTGGCTTCATTTTCTGTTTCACTAAAGCAGAAGAGTCCATTAGCTCTGGGCACAGGAACTGGAGAGAACTTCCCAACTGGGAAAAATATTGGAAAGAAAAATGAAGAATTTCCACCAAGTTTTCAATGGGGTGTTAAAATGCTATTGACAAGAGAACTGTTAATTTGAGAAGTAAAATCCAATTTAAACTCTTCAGATGATTTTATCTCTAATCCTACGTTTTACCTTGGGTGTTCTAGCACAGTTAGAAATCTGCAGGGTTGAAGTGTGGGATAATTCCTTGATATTATTCAAGAAAGAGAGATTTCCATGGCAGGTAAAGGCTGACAGGTTTGAAAATATCCTCCTGACAATGCAGCTGATTGAGGGATTGATGGAGAGCTCTGCAGTGACTTTAATTTCACAAAACTGGGGGAGGAAATTCATGCTTTGAACTTTATTTTTCACAGGTTATGCCCTTTCCACTGCACCTTCCGTGAGGCTGCAAAGCCCTTGTTGACTTCTGCTTGGAGAGGAATATGGGATCCCCTGTGGGATTCAAATATTCCTGAAAAAGCAGTGGTTGACAGTAATTCTGTAAAAATTAATAGAATAGAATAGAATAGAATATATAACATATAATCTGTAAATAAAGTTGGACAGTAATTCTGTCTCAATTCCCTTTGGGACAGAGCAGGAATCTGATATTAAAACCCAAACCCAGCTCATTTCAGGACCTGCATATTGAACCCCACCCATTCACAATAAGTGAGTCCCAGAATAAATCCAGCAGCACTCACCTTGACTTTCCCTGGGTTTTCCTCCTCTTCCTTCTTGTCCTCGAACTCAAAGGCCACAGTCATTCTCTGCTGCCTCTGCTCCTCCCAGAGAGTGGGGTTAAAGCTGTCACTGTCGGACTGGAAATCTGCAGGGAATGGGAGAGGGAGCTGGGAATGAGCCAAATGGGTTTTCCTGCTTGGTCACCTGGGTCATTGTTTGGAAATTCGAGGGAGAACTGAGAAGCCACTCCGGGGTTGTGAATAAAAGTGGGATCAGAGCGGTGGGAAGCAGCACCAGGGCTTGGGGCAGCCCTGGAGCAGAGGGGCAGTGTGAAAATGGGAATTTAGTGGAGCAAAGCCCAAATCCAGCCCAGTTTGGGAGCCCTGAGCCCCCACCCCATGGAGATGGGCATTCCCAGCTCCTGCCTGGAGCCAGCAATTCCTGGGGTGTGCACACCCAGAGCTGGGCTCCTGCAAAGCCTCTCTGGAAATAAAAGGGGTTCAGGAAACGTCAGGGTGAAAGGGTAGGTCAGAAAACGTCAGTCTGAAAATGTAAATTAGAGAATGCCAATGTGAAAATGTAAATCAGAAAATGTCAGTCTGGAAATGTAAATCGGAAAACATCAATGTGAAAATGTAAATCAAAAAATGTCAGTCTGGAAGTGTAAATCAGAAAATGTCAGTGTGAAATTGTAAATTGGAAGATGTCAGTCTGAAAATGTGAATCAGAAAATGTCAATGTGAAAATGTAAATCAGAAAATGTCAGTGTGGAAATGTGAATCAGAAAACGTCAGTCTGAAATTGTGAATCAGAAAATGTCAATGTGAAATGTCAATAAATCTGAAACTGTGAATCAGAAAATGTCAGTCTGAAAGTGTAAATCTGAAATTGTAAATCAGAAAATGTCCATATGAAAATGTTAGTCTGAAATTGTAAATCAGAAAATATCAGTCTGAAAGTGTCAATCAGAAAATATCAGTGTGAAAGTGTAAATCTGAGAGTGTCAATCAGAAACGTCAGTGTGAAAGTGTCAATCTGAGAGTCAATCAGAAATGTCAGTCTGAAAGTGTCAATCAGAAATATCAGACTGAAAGTGTAAATCTGAGAGTGTCAATCAGAAATGTCAGTCTGAAAGCGTAAATCTGAGAGCGTCAGTCAGAAATGTCAGTGTGAAAGTGTAAATCTGAGAGTGTCAATCAGAAATGTCAGTGTGAAAGCGTACATCTGAGAGTGTCAATCAGAAATGTCAGTCTGAAAGTGTCAATCAGAAATGTCAGTGTGGCAGCCCGGATCCATCCCGGTGGCCAGCCCAGGGTGTCCCCGTGGCCCTGGGGTGTCAGAGGGGCAGGGCTCAGCCCCGGCCCCCTGAGCTCGGGGTTTTACCTTCGTCGCTGCGGGGCTGCTGCGGGAACATGTAGTTGGTGAGCACGCGCTGCTTGGTCTCGGGGTGCGCCTCCGTCTGCAGCGGGATCAGCGCCTTGGACTGCGGGAGAGGGAGCGCACAGAGTGAGGAGAACAATAATAATAACAATAACAACAACAATAGCAGCAATAATAACAATAATAGCAATAATAGCAACAATAACAACAATAATAACAAGGACAACCAGAAGAGCCAGAACAACAACAACAATAATAATAATAACAAGAACAGCCAGAACAACCAGAATAATAGTAGTAGTAGTAGTAGTAATAACAACAACAACAACAACAACAATGAGGTAACAACAAAATAACAACAATAATGGGATACTGATAATAGGAATAATAATAATAACAACAATAACAATATAATCAATAATAAGAATAATAACAATAATAACAACAACAACAAGAACAACCAGAACAATCGTAATAATAATAATAATAATAATAATAATAATAATAATAATAATAATAATAATAATAAATATTATATCAATAATATAACATCATATCAATAATCTATTATTATTAATAACAACGACAACAATGTATTAATGTTATTAATATTATATTAATAATATAACATTATATTAATTATTATTATTATTAATAATAATAACGACGTGAAAATAACAACAACAACAATAATAACGGGATAATGATGATAGTAATAGCAACAATAACAACAACAATAATATCAACAATAATAACAATAATAAACCACCAACAATAATAATGGGATAATGATGATAGCAATAATAAAAAATAACAATAACATCAACAATAACAACAACAACAACAACAATAATGGGATAATAACAACAATAACAACAACAATAACAATATCAACAATATAACAACAACAACAACAACAACAACAATAATATTATTAAAAACACCAACACCAGAATGGGCACCCATCCATGAACTGCTGGCAGCTGGGCAGTCCCAGCTCCCCCTGCCCAGGGAGCCCCAGGCTGCTGCAGCTCTGCAGGAACACAAATTCCCCATGGGCAGGAGGAGAGCGGAGCCTCCTGTGCCTGCCCTGCCATTCCTGGCATTCCCAGCCATGGGGGCATGGGGAACCCTGCCTGCTGCTCCAGGGGAAAAGGATCAGGGAGCACCCCTGGCACTGCACACCGCAACACCCCTTGGGATGCGTTTTAAGCCAGGCCTAACGAAGAGTTAATTAACGATGAGGAGTAAATTCCTGGTGGCTGGCAGTTCACCTGGGAGTAAACCTGGTGCAGGGCACAGCAGAATTCCCAAGGAGCATTCCCTGGGAATTCCTGCTGGGTTTGACTGCAGCTGGGGATGTTTGATCACTGCTTTGTTCTACCCAAAGTCACTGTGGCCCAGGAGTGACTGTCACAGCCCAGAGTGTGGAAATCAATCCTTGCTGTGCCACAGGGAAGTCAAAATGCTGGAAAATGTTGTATATTTAAAGGGCTGGGGGTGTTCTGTGCCTGGGCTGCACAGCCAGGCAATGTTATTTTTTAAAATGCAAAATTTTAAATGCAAAACCCCCAAGAATCCTCATTTAACACATAAAAATTTAATCATAATTTTCCATTACCCCACCCTTTCAGCTTTCACATTTTTGGCTCGGCTCTAAAACCAAATGTACATTTCAGACTTATTTTAGGGCTCAGCTGCTGCTGGAACCGTTGCATTTCTCAGGGTTCCTGTTGCATAATTCGGTTTAAAATAGAATCCCAAAGAATATCTGCTATAAACCAGAGTCCTGGAACAAAGCAGGGCCCCCTCAGATTTCAAAGGCACAGAAAAAGGAGTTTTCTCCAAAGCAGGACCCAGAGTCCTCGTGTAGCTTTGACTTGTTTGAACTCTCCCTGACTGCAGTGGAGCTCAAAATCTGCAGGGATGGGAGAATGGGTGGGAAAAGGGAAGAGGAAGCCAAGGGAAGAGGAGCAGATGGAGCACAGGGTGGGAACAGGATAATAACGAGTTTGAGAATGAACATCTTGAATTTCTGCTTCAAAAATACTCCCGTGCTACTTTGCCCTTTATTTACTACTTTGGTAAGGAGGCAGGAGCTGATCCTGGTAAAATAAATCCTGCAAAAGTGATTTTTCCATGGTAAAAAGTGACACCCAGCAGGATTTATGGCTGGATATGGAAATCTACAGCTGGGCTGGGAGCAAACCCTTCCAAAATTCTTCTAAATCTTGAATTGAGTGACAGGGTTCATTGACAGCCCCTTTCCTAAGGAAAATGGGAATATTGAAAGGCATTACCTGGTTGTCAGAAAGCCACAAGGCTGCCAGTTCTTTGAGTTTGGTAAAAGTGAAGGGCAAATTCTTCAGTCTGTAAAGAAGAATATTGGGACAAGATGAATCCTTCATTTCCAAAGTAATTTATTTAAAGATTTGCATGCAGCATGTTTGTCACACTGAAATAGCTAAAACTTCACTGCTTTTAAAATCAATTTTACTAAAATGCAATATTTTATCAATGTTCCTGTTGTTGTTATTCCTACTATTATTATTAATCTGATTAATATTCCACATTAAGAGTTCTGTTTGGGAAGTAGAACTGCTGACACCACATCCTTTGGTATTGAGGAGAAACTGATATTTTCCTTTGGTTATAGTGTAATAAAATGACACATATAAGACAGAAAAAAAGAAAAAATCTTGCTCCCAGGAGCTTTAGAGGAACCTCAGAGTCACTCACAGAGATCCCTTTATTGGACACTGGAGGTTTGGAACAGAAATATTCCAAGATGATGAAAAATTCATTTTTGTTGGAATGTCAGACCAAAGATTAAAATAATATAAATATTCATAGTGAACCTAAATGACAAAATTAAATGGAGCAGGGAAAAAAAATAAATCAGCATTTTAACGAGACATTTAAACACAGTTTCCTAAAAGGGATCTGGGAGTGGGAATGGGAATGGATGGCAGGATATTTGTGGAATCTTCATTGAATTTTTTTCCCATGACTCCTACTGGACAGGCTGTTTTTATAGAATCACGGAATGCAGGGTGGTTTGGGTTGGGAGAGACCTCAAATCCCATCCCATCGCATCGCATCCCATCGCATCCCATCCCATCCCATGACACCTTCCACCATCCCAGGCTGCTCCAAGCTGGCCTTGGGCACTCCCAGGGATGGAGCAGCCACGGCAAATCTGGGAATTCCATTCCAGGGCCTCCCCACCCTCACATCCAACAATTCCTTCCCCATTTCCCACCCAACCCTGCTCTTTCCCAGCACAAAGCCTGGCCCAGCCATGCTCTGAAGCCCTCCCAGCTTCTGGGAGTGACTAAAAGAGCATTGGAAAAACCAAATCCTAAATGAGATTTGGGAAAAATCAGGAGGAGAAGCCCTTTTGTGCCAGACTCAGACCCTGAGTTAATCATCCACAGAAGTGATTCTCACGTTTCTGGGCACCTCAGAAGGGAACACAAAAGTCAGGACTGGACTGAAAGGTGTCTCTGGGAGGGCACTGGGATGCTCCAGGGATCCCAGGTGAAGAGCTGGGAATCAGAGGGAGAAGATCTGGCCACAGCGCTTGGGATCATGTGGGACAAGACCATTCCGTGCTGATTTTCCAGTTCCATTCCCAACCAAATCACAGAACCCTGCATTTTTCATTTGCTCTGCCAAGACCCCTGGATACAACTTTTAAACGTCAAACAAGGCCTGATTTTAAAGCCTTTGAAAGAAAAACCTCAAATTCGAGCTCAAAGATGGGGAATACCCAAAATCATTGCTGGGCTTTGAACATTTCCAGCCAAGCCAAGCCCCAGCCTCTTCTTCTAACACAATTTGGTTTTGCTTTTAAATTGTGCAGCGCAGGAAAAATTCTTCATCATGTAGCCACACACGTGCAAACACCCTGATTAGATCCTAATTCCTGACCAGGGGGAGGGAGGCACACAGGGAATGGAGTTTGTGGGGATGGATGGTGAGGTCTGAGGAGCTCTTCTGGCTCCTGTGGGAGTGACCCCAGAAACACAGACAGAAAGGGGGGGTTCTCTCAGCTCTTTTAGGACAGAAAAGGGGAATTCACTCAGCTCTGTAAGAACGGGAATGGGGAATTCTCTCAGCTCTTTTAGGACAGAAAAGGGGAATTCACTCAGCTGTTTTAGGAACTGGAAGGGAGGGTTCTCTCAGCCCTTTAAGATCAGAATGGGAAGATTCTGTAGGTTTTTTTAAGAACAGGAAGGGGGGATTCTCTCAGCCCTTTCAGATCAGAAAGGGGGGATTCTCTCAGCTCTTTTAGGACAGAAAGAGGGATTTCTCTCAGTCCTTTTAGGAAGAGAAATGGGGGGGTTCTCTCAGTCCTTTTAGGAAGAGAAATGGAGCTTTCTGTTAGCCCCTTTAGGAACAGAAATGGGGGGTTCTGTCAGCCCCTTTAGGAACAGAAATGGGGATTCTCTCAGTCCTTTAAGAATAGAAAGGGGGGTTTCTCTCACCCCTTTAGGAACAGAAAGAGAGGTTTTCTCTCAGTCCTTTGAAGAGCAGGAAGTGGGGGCTGTCTCAGCTCTTTAAGAACAATCTGGAACTAAAAGAAAGGTCACTTACCAGTAACCGAGGCTCTGTGGGGGAAGTGTAGCCCAAAGGGACTTTTCTAACAATTCTACCTCTCACTCACAGGGCTCAGACCTGGAAGGACTCTGAGGAGAGAGGAGAAGCAGAGGGGAGACAAGGTGTTTGTGGCTACCCATGGGCAGGGACACCGGTCACTGGCAAGGAATTTGGGATTTCCAGACTCCCACGAGAGCCTGAGGCTGAGCAGCCACCCCTGGGAGAAATTCAGGATGAGCTGGAGCTGCCAGAGCTTCCACAGGGCTGCTCCTGCACAAACACCTCACCACGGGCACCTCCTGGATCCAGATCAAACCCTGCTGGCTCTGCTGGGCAGAGCCAAGAGAATCCTGGAAAAGTTCCCTTTGGAAAGGTCTGGAGATGGGAAGAGAAAGGACAGAGGACTCCCAGGTGTGGAGATGAGAAGTTTGGACAGAACTTAGAGGGTGGGCGTGGGGAAGGAAAGCTGGAGGCATTGCCTTGGGTTGAGTGGAATTCCAACATGGGAGCTTGAAGGAAATCCTGAAATTCAAAGATCAGCAAGTCCCAACATCCAGGGATGAGGAGAAGACACGGAATAGAGTGAGGGTCTGTAGTGGCAAAGAGCAGAGATCCAAAATGCACCAGAGAGGGACTCAGACACTGATTCCCCCGAGCAGAATGGAATCTGGGATTCCCATTGTCCCTGATCCAAAATTCACCACTGAGGGATTCAGACACTGATTCCCCTGAGCAGAATGGAGTCTGAGATTCCCATCAGTCCTTATCCAAAATTCACTAGAGAGGGACTCAGACACTGATTCCCCTAAGCAGAATGTGTCCCTTCTTCCAAGGGCTCCAGGGAAAGAGCTCCTGGGATCTCCCTCCTCTGCCAGCTCCAGGGAAGAGCAGAGGGCCAGAACTGCTGTGGGAACACAGGAATGCTCCAGCAGGATGGGGAGCCCCAGCTCCTTTTGGTTTGAGCCTGTGGGCTCATCCAAAGGAACTTCAGGGATTGCCGGTGATGAATGTGAAGCTGGGAATGGTGATGAAAGTGAAGCTGGGACCACAGAAAGTAAAAAAATCACTAAAAATCCAGCATTAAGAAGGTGTCTGGACTTAACACAAATTCTCTGGTGCAGAATGTCAGAACTTTTTTTTTTCTTTTTTTTTTTTTTTCATTAGGGTGGGAAGCTTCATGGCAAAAGAATTACCCCAGCATCTCAGCAGGGCAATGTTCAAACTCAGCTGGAGCTGGGAGCCACAGAGGAGGAAAGGTTTGGAAAAATTCCCTTCCCAAACCACTCCAGAAAAGTAGAGGAGACGATTCCACCAGGTTTAAACACAATTCAGTCAGGTTTAAGGGTAGAAGTCTGGGATCTGGGTCACCAGACACCACTGAGGGGGAGTGGGAAGGGCACGGCTGCCACATCCCAGCCCATGGAACAAATACCACATTCTACCCTATGGAACATCACATCCCACCCTATGGAATATCACATTCCACCCCATGGAACAAACACCACATTCTGCCCCATGGAATATCACATCCCACCCCATGGAATATTACATCCCACCCTATGGAACATCGCATTCCACCCCATGGAACAAACACCCCATTCTGCCCCGTGGAACAAACACTACATCCCAACCCATGGAATATCACATTCCACCCCATGGAACACCACATCCCACCCCATGGAACAAACACCACGTTCTGCCCCATGGAATATCACATCCCACCCCATGGAATATTACATTCCACCCCATGGAATAGCACATTCCGCCCCATGGAACAAAGACCACATCCCACCCCAAGGATCACCACATCCCACTCCACACCACTGGGATGCTGGTCCCACAATTTTCTTCCCCCCAGTGGAAACCCCAGTCCCCTCCCAGCTGGGCAGGGGGCTCAGACTCCCAGCAGGATTCCAGGTTGGAAAAGGGGGCAGTGACCCTGCTCAGGGTGATTTAACGTGCCAGGGAAGGTTCCCTGCATTCCTGGCTCCCAGGAAATCCTGGATCAGTCCTCTGCCCCGTGTCCCCTCAGGGCAGAGGAGGCACCGGCCCTGGGGACATCCACCTGGAAATCCACCCGGATTTGGGACAGGATGGAATTTGTGCCCCGGAATTTCAATGCAGGACAGAATGGAAATGAATGAAGGAATTTTAAACAATATTCCAGAGGTTCTCCATGGCTTTATGTAATTCATAATTTTGTGTTCAGCCTGAATCTCAGCAATGAAACTGGGCTGGGAAATCCTCCCCTAATTTTTGCTGAGTGTGGATGGCAAGCCCTGGAGAGAAAATGGAATTCACCCCCCACATCTTGCACTTCCTATGCTGACACTGCAAATCCCCACATTCCTGGCACACCCACACGGATAAATCCCAAGGAAATTCAGATTTTCCATGTGCCTGTGGCAGCACAGGACAGGGATCAAGAACAGCTCATTTGAAGCATTTTGTTTTTCATCTAAGAACAGTCCTGTGCATAAGGACAAATGCATCTGGGGCTTGACAAAAAAAACCAACTCTGCTGGAGGAAATGAAAAATGTTCCTCGGATTTCTGTGGATGCAAGATAACTAATTTTTGTTTCCTGGTTCCCTGGGTATCAGCTTTTTAATCATTAAATATTACAAACCTATAGACAATATCTTTTTTTTTTTTTTTTTTTTTTTTTGCATGGAAACAGCAGAAAATAAAAGAAAGAAATGGGTTTGAAGCTATTAAAAAACACCAAGATCCAGATTTTGGTCTTATTCAATTTTCTTGAAGTTTTCCCTTGGATGTCAAAGGAGCTGAGACCAAACCACAAAGACTGAAAAAACACAACCAAGATTCTTTCCTTATAGCTTAAATAAATTAATGATACTATTTTTAAACTAGAATTCTATTTTTTAATTTTAAAATATATTTTAGAGAAACGCATCTTTATAAAGACCTCAAAGGAAAAGTTTAAATTAAAAAAAATAAATTCTTAAATTGGCTAAAAATAAAGTGCTGTGAACTGTACCTGTTATCACTCAGATTTAACACCCTCAGCTTCTGCATCTGGCCAATCTCATCAGGCAGAAATTCCAGTTTGTTGGAGCGCAGGGACATCACAGTCACGTTCTTACAGCTCCCAATCTGCGGGAATGGAAAAGCCCAAAGGATGGAACCCCAAAACTGGGAATGTTTATTATCACTTTTTGTGTCAGGAGGCGCCTAAAATGGGTTTTACTGAAACCCACAAAAGGCAGGAAATCCAAAATTCAAGAGAAAATTATAGTTTTCTGCTGGCAGGAACCTCAGGGAGCGCCTGGGGTTCCTCACAGGGATATTCCCAACTTTCCATGGATTTACTGCTCAGTCTGAGCACCGAGCACCTCTTGCACACCCAGACAATTCCACCAGCAGCTGGAATCTGTCTGAGGCGCAGCGGTGGGATGATGGATCCCAGGGGACATCCTAGGGATGCATGGGATGGGATGGGATGGGATGGGATGGGATGGGATGGGATGGGATGGGATGGAGTGGTGGATCCTGTGGGACATCCCAGGGATGGGATGGGATGGGATGCTGGATCCCATAGGACATCCCAGGGATGGGATGGGATGGGATGGAGTGGTGGATCCTGTGGGACATCCCAGGGATGGGATGGGATGGGATGCTGGATCCCATAGGACATCCCAGGTATGGGATGGGATGGGATGGAGTGGTGGATCCTGTGGGACATCCCAGGGATGGGATGCTGGATCCCATAGGACATCCCAGGTATGGGATGCTGGATCCCATGGGACATCTCAAGAATGGGATGGGATGCTGGCTTCTCACAGGACATCCCAGGGGCGGAATGGGATGGATGCTGGCTCCATGGGACACCCCAGGGCAGGGATGGTGGCTCCCAGGGGACACCCCAGGGCAGGGATGGGTTCTGGAGCAGCTCTCACCTCTCTGGGCAGCTCCGGCAGGAAGTTCTCGTCCACGGCCAGGGTGCGCAGGTTGTGCAGGTACCCGATGGTGGAGGGCAGCGCCTCCAGCTCGTTGCAGCTGCAGTCAAATTCCTCCAGCAGGGACAGGCTGGAATGGCAAACCCCTCATTAGCGGCCCTGCAGGGACTGCATCCCCAAATTAACAACCCCAAACCTCTGGGGGCTTCACCAGCTCCAGGCTCCACCAGCCCCGAGAGGGAACAGCCAGGGGAGATCTGCTGGGGCTGCCCTGGATCCCTGGAAGGGTCCCAGGCCAGGCTGGAGCAGCCTGTGGCAGTGCAAGGTGTCCCTGGTGGCACTGGATGGGCTTTGAGGGCCATCCCAACCCAAGTCATCCCATCATTTCCCTGGCAGGAGTCTGTAACAAGGGGATTTTTGGAACCCACTTTAAGGCCGCCGGGATTGCCCATGCTACCATTCATATTTTCTGGGATATTGAGGATATTGAAGAATTCCAAGGACTTCAGACAGAGATCAGGGCAACCAAGGCCATTGAACCAAGAATTTAGTGTTTGTTAACCCAAGTAACAGGTTTAAGGTAGAAGGTCTGGGATCTGGGTCTCCAGACACCACTGAGGGGGACTGGGAATTTATTCCAGTGGGAATATATGGATGTGCTGCACATGACAGAGTGAGATTTACAAATATACACATTAAATATACAGGTTATGGACGTACATTAAAATATTCTGAAGAAATATTTCCTGATCTTCTTCTAAAACGAGACTGCAAATTAAAATCCTTCCAGTGAAAGTTGTGTGAGCACCACCCAGCTCCTCTGCCCCCTTTGCTCCTCACATTCCACCTCTTGCTCTCAAGTACTTTAATCAGAGTAAGGGTAAATAACAGCCAATTATTTCTTCCTAAAATCTCCCATCTCCCTGTCCACTGCCTTAGGGACTTGTCAGAGGATTCTCTGGTTTTTCCCCAAATATTTTGGAGGATCTGTTAAGAAGTTTGGTTCTGACCACCCCTTCCACAGACCTTGTTCTGGAGGATTCCCAGGAGCCTCAGCTGCAGGATTGGGTCTCCACTCTGTATCTAATTCACCTTTATTTCAGTTTATTAATTAAAAAGATCTTTCAGCCTTCAGGTTTGATGCCAAATGAAAGCAGAGACTGCTGTTCCTCCCAGGGAATCCTCAGAAGCCACCAACCCTCAGCAGAAGGAGGCAGAGCCATGTGAGACCCCACAGCAGAGAGCCTCCCATGATCCCAGCCCCTGGAATCCTCCTGGCTTTCCCACAGAGTTTCTGTCGTATTTCAGGAGCTCTCCATCCCTGTGAGGCCACAGCCAGATCCTGGTGAGCTCCTGGCTGTTGCCATGGCAACTGATGCATTTCCCCCAAATTCTTCCGCTTTCACTTCTCTGCTCGTCCAGATTGATTCACACCCAAACCTTTGGTTTTCCTCTTGGAAAATTGGATATGTTTCACCTTCTTCCCCTTTGCACTGAAAAATCCCCAGGATTAAAAGTGATGCTCCAAATTGAAATGTTACAGCCTGGGGGTTGGAAATTATTTCATAATTCAAAGTGTATTTGTCTTCTTTTCTATTTGAAAGCCCACACTCCTTGAGCAAAAGGGAAAAGGCATTTTAATTAAAAAGGATGAAACTTGGACTCACTTTCCAATGGCATTGGGCAGGATGGTGAGCTGGTTGTCATCCACTTTCAGGGTTGTCAGTCTCTTCAACAATCCTGCAGGAAGAAATGATGGATAAGGAGCTCCCATGGAGATCTCCTGGAATCCCATAAGCAATGGCTGGCAACCCTGAGCAGCTCTGCTCTGGATTTTAGGGAGTATCATTCCAAATGGGTTTGTTCCTGCTAAATGCCCTCTGAAAACCAATCTGGGCCATGGAACAAAAATCCTGGGATTGACGGGGAGACGTAGAAGAACAAGATGGAAAACAGGAGGAGAAGACACCCAGTAAGACTGTCAGTTATAAGCAGCATTAATTAGCAATCCATGTTGGAACATGACTAAATTGATTTAAAATTGAGGAATCTTACAATTCTGTGTTCAAAGGGAAAGGGGCTCAGGACTGAAAGGAAATATCCCAATGGTCAGAGGGATGTGATCCTAAATAATCCAGGAATTCCATGCATGTAAAACAGTCAAAATAAAAAGAAAATTCATAGTTTGAATTATTTCCTTTTTATTTCCTCTTCCCACTGTGAATGAGCAGCAATCCCATCATCGCCCTCAGACAGATTTTCACATTTAAATGAAATTAATTCTGTCCTCCTTGGCTTCTTTTCCTCAAAACAGCAAACCAGGTGGACCAATCCCTTCCAACCAGGGAATTCTGCTCCTGACTTTACAACATGGGACTGTCCAGACACCATTTTCTGCCTCCTTTGGGATTTAATGGCAGGCCTTGCTCCATGATTAGAAAATCGCATGATTCCAAAATTAAAATAAAATTTAAAAAATATTTAAAAAACATTTAAAAAACCTATCAAATGGAGAGGAATGCCAGGTCTTTCCTCACCTATGGAATCTGGCAGCTGCTGCAGCATGTTGGAGGAGAGGAGGAGATCCTCCAGCCCCTCACAGCCCGAGATGTCCAGGTCGACCGTCTCGATCCTGTTTTTGGACACATCCAGGTACACGAGCTGTTTTAACTTCCCTATAGACTTAATAGCACGTGAGACAGAGTTACTTGAGCAGATAGAGCTGTTAATTAGAGCGTTAATTAGAGACAAACACAAAAATCCAGCTGATCTGGAGTTATCTCAGCACCCTTCGGATCTGGCAGGGCCGGGGTGGGCTTAGCCTCAAAGGAACTAAATTAACCCCCCCAGCCTAATTAATGTGCTCCAAATTCATTAAATCTGCTGGGATTTGGCATTCCTGGGCATGCAGCTGAGGTGCTTCTCCATCTGGACACAGATCCAAGGGATATTCCCAATTCCCACCTTCCACCAGGCAGGTGGAGTTTTCTGCGTTGAACCATCCCAAAACTTTTATAATTAATGAATTAATTAATTAATGCCTCTCTGCACCCACCCAAGGAAATGCACAGGCAGGTGCTCCCTGCCAGGAAAACAGGGGAATCACCAAATCACCCAAAAATTCCCTAAAATAAATGTCCATACCCCAGGTAGCACTTGCAAGGAATTATTGTCCATCCACAACTCCTTCAGATTCTGGATTTGTTCAAGAACCTCAGGCTGAGGAAAAGAGTAAACAATTATGGGCAGCTAAGTAAAGCAATGCGTTTTTAGTTAAATAAAAATCAACTTTTTCTTAAGAAAATAAAGCTTCCCCTTCACTTCCCTTTGGTTTTCGTACCCCACCTCAGCCTTCCAGGTGTTCAAGGACAAGAAAACCTTCCCTCGGTGTAATTTAACCACTGCTGCTCTTTATCAAAACTTGTAAAATTTAAGAGCCTTTTGCAAAAGAAATGAGCCCAAAGGACACGTCCCGGGGAGATTTAACTTCTGCAGCTGGCACAGCCAGGAGCCAGAATGCACAGGAGAAAATGGGCACTGATAAAACCTGGAATTGCAGAATCAAACTTTCATCTGTCTTGTTCTTTTCAGGGTATCAGTGAGAGGAGCTAAAAAAGGCAATTCCCCAGATCACTCCTCACAGCTGTGAAATCCCAGAATTACAAATCCAGGCCACAAACACTCCCAGGTTTCCTCAGCAGTGTTTTCCTTTCCCATAAAACATTTCCCACAGCAAACCAACACTTGGAATTTGCCTTTGCCCTCCCAGGTTGTAGAGATTTTTTTCCAAAGCCTGTCAGAACCTGGTATTAAATGTTCCGTGAAATATTCCATGAAATATTCCATTCCAAAGCAGGCTTTGGAAGCAGAACAATTGCCCTGGAATGATTCCAACACAGGCAGGAGCAAATGGAGCTCCAGACCCCAAGAGAGACCTGGAGTTACCCTGCATGGTCTGGTTTGGAATGTTGTCATTCCCAGAATAAATCTGATTTTCCACGTGCCCAGGGAATGGTGGGAGAAGCTCCTGGTGCCTCAGCAGATGAGAACAAAGCTGATGAGCAGAAGAACTCACCCCTTGTTTTCCACATCTCCACCTAATGAGCTCCTATTAAAAACCAGTGGTGAGCATTTTAAAGATGATTTATTTTGCCTCTGTTAATTCCATTGAAATTCTGCTGTCCTTCGATGATTAAAACCACTTCTCATTTCCAGGCTGAATTGATTAATGGGCATTTGATACTATTTGTTCCTGGGCTGATTAATGCTTCTTTATCCCTCTGGAGTGTTCACGAGCTGAGGTCATTATGGATAATCATAATTTCCCCTCTCAACTTTAATTTGCTTTTCAATCCCTCTCATTAGCAGACACCTTTCTTCAAGGCCTGCTCCTGGCCTGTGCAGAGCACACTTTGATGGGGGGAATTCCTTGGATTGTGGTTTCCCAGGATGATGGAATTTCCCATTATTGTGGAGCACCATGGGACATTCCACATGATGGCACACCATGATCCAGACATGGGTGGGTTGGTATCAAAGTGCCATTACAACCTTGTTTGTCACTGTTAGAAATGCTTTGGTTTGGGGCTGTGTGGGGAATATTCTCATTTTCCTCAGAGGTTGCTACAATTGGAATAGAGCAGAATGGGAATAGGACAGAAAAGGAATAGGAAGAGGACAGAAAAGGAATGGGAATAGGAATAGAATGAAATAGAACAGAATAGAATAGAATAGAATAGCATCAGGAATAGAATAGAATAGAATAGAATAGAATAGAATAGAATAGAATAGAATAGCAACAGGAATAAAATGAATAGGAATAGGAATAAGAATAGGAATAGGAATAGGAATAGGAATAGGAATAGGAACAGAAGGGAACCAGCTGGAAGGGTTTTACATTGATCTCCCAGCCCAGCTCCCTGACCAATTCAGTCTGACCAAACCATAAAGGATATTATTCAGGGAATTGGCCAAATGTCCCTTTCCAGGAGCCTGTTCCAAGGTCTGATCAGAGAAAAGCTTCCTGGGATCGAGTCTGAATGGAAGACTCATAGGAATTTTTGGAGAAAGTCACATTCTATTCTATTCTATTCTATTCTATTCTATTCTATTTTCCTGCACATTCCCACTCTGCCTTGGCCTCTTGGCCCATTTGCCTTCTGGAATTTGATTCCACTTCCTACATTTTGGCTGAAAAGTGAGTAAATTTGGGAATTCTGGCCCTAACAGGAGGATGGGATCGCCCCTCTCCTGATCTGTCACTCGTGGGATCACTGGGCTGCCATGGAAATATGTGGAATATTGTCCAATTCCTTTCAAACACCCCCAGATGAGAGGCTCTGAACTCGGGCAGGATTTAATTCCTACAATTAAAATTCCAAACAGCTCTTCCGAAAATTTCTCTCTGTTTATCCACGCTGAAGATTTTAATTAAAAATCGGAGTTAAATCCTCTCTTTCCTCCTGCATGGAATAAATGAGCAGCCGGGAACAGGGTGGGAGCTGCTCCATAAAACAGATGTAGAGACTTTGCTACAGCTCTGTAGCACCAGGTGACATTTCAGGCTTTGTTTGAAGTGGGATTATCTCAGTTTTAACTAAAGCCACAGGAACTATTCCCTTGTAGGCCTGTAATCCCTGATCCTGCCCCTCCATGGCTCCCAAGGAACAGCATCTCTCGCTCCCTGTGCTGGCAACAGGGAAAATTCCCAAAATACTTCAATCTCAGGGAAATAAATTCTGATTCTGGGGATGAGTTGGGGGCAGAAATTCCTCATGAGGTTCAGAACTGACATCTGCTGGAATTGCAGAATGCCAGACTGGTTTGGGTTGGAGGGAAATGTGTCCCTTGCCCAGGGCCATGATCCCACAAAGTAAAAGTTTAATGCCCCATGGACAGAGCACCCAAACCCCCGAGGTTTCCCCTTAAAAACTGGAGCATTTCTTACCAGCTCAGAGAACTCATTATTGCCCAGATCGAGCCTCTCCAGCTGGGTCAGCTTGTGCATTGACCTGGAACAGGTGGGCAAAGACTCAAAATGAGATTTTAACTGGCAAAGCATCAGTCAGGTTTTGGGGGGGTGAAAACAAAGGAAAATATTTTAGTGGGAAAATAAAAGCTGCGTTGATACTCTGATGGCAAAAAATGAATTGCACCAGTCTGATGCTGATGGAAATTCCAACAATATATTTTATCCTTGAGACATTGACTGGGGTCATGGAACCCAAAAACCAGCAAGTTATTTTAATATAAAAATAAACAAAATCTTGGTAGATTTTTGTGTATTTGCCCAGGGAAAATGCTCCATGTTATATCAATAAGTGATTGAAATTAAATATAACAGAAATCGTGGCTTTTTGAGAGAGATTTATGCATTTGCAGTGGTTTTTTACAAACCACTAGAAAGTGTTAGGACTCTTGAGCCAGGTCCCCTGCTCTGAGGTTCAGATTTAATCAAGTTCAAAGTTAATAAATCAATTTTTGCCTTTGTTCCCATGAACAAAACCGGAGCAGGGCTTTATCCCAAGGGCAGAATTTCTCCTTAAGCCCTGACAGACCAAAGTGAACCAAACACCACGCTGGGTTTGGGGGGATGCAGTGAAAAAAGAGGATAAAAATAATTAAATCATTTAACATGAACTGCAACAACAGTTCAGAGGCCTCCTGAGGTAATCAGATCCTAATCAAAAAATTAGCATAGCCTTAATTGCTGTGATCTGAAATATCAACCATTTTATGTCTGCAATTTGTACCAGAGGTAAAAGTGATTATTGTTGAAAGGCTGAAAAGCACAGCCCTGGTTCAGCATTTCAGCCTGGCTGGGTTGTGTTTTATTGCCAGAAAATGTCACTTTTCCTTTGTTAAAACAGGGAAATAAACTCCAGAAAAACAGGAATTAGAGTCCACAGGAACAGGAAATAAATCCAAGAGAAATAAAGAATAAACTCCATGGAAATAGGGAAATAAACTCCTCAGAAATAGGAAATAAACTGCACAGAAATAGGAAATAAAGTCCATGGAAATATGAAATAAACTCCACAGAAACAGGAAACAAACCCCACAAAAACCAGGAAAATAAACTCCACAGGAACATGAAAATAAACTCCACAGAAATAGGAAATAAACTCCACAGGAACAGGAAAATAAACCCTCCAGAAATAGGAAAATAAACCCCACAAAACCAGGAAAATAAACCCCAGAGAAACAGGGAATATACTCCACAGAAATAGGGAAATAAACACCATAGAAATAGGAAATAAACTCCATAAAAACAGGAAATAAACCCCACAAAACCAGGGAAACAAACTCCTCTGAAATGTATCGCCATATATTAGTATAACTAACATTTTAATTATTACACACATTATACATTATCTATATTACATATATTTTAATATTTTATATATCCTTATTATATCTTTTCAATTATTAAATCCTGGAAGTCTTCAGAGATTAAATTCACTCAAATTGGTAAAAGCTTTGTCTTTCATCCCAAATTCTTTTGAACACAACTTCAACTGCTTTGTGTTTTCTACTGTAAATTCAGCTTCAAATGCAAAATTTAACCATTATTTGTGCCATTTCTACAGTCAAATAAACAACTCCAGAAACTGAAACTGATGTGGGGGCAGATTAATTTCAGGGAGTTGGGGCCCCATCAAAAAATGAAGCTCTGCTCATGTTCCCAATGGAAAAATCAGATTTTCCCATTAGCTGCTGCTATTTTTATCTCTCTCCTATAATTACTTTTATTTTTCTTATGGAAAGCTTCGTTACAGTTTTTGTGTGGGGTCATTTACAGAGGCGGATCAGGAATGAGCAGTTATGGGCAATGCTCAGGTAAATATTCAGTGTTTAAAGGATGTCATGGGGGGGATGAATGTGCCAAAGATCTCCCCAAAATCCTTATGGGGATCCCAGTTGGAGCTTTCCTTCCATGAGTGACTCAATTTAGGAGACTTTGGGGCTATGAGGGTGGAATTCCCATGAGGTTCAGAATAAAATGATTTTATTTTAAAATTAGCTTGTGCCTTAAAATTATTTTAAAATTATTTTGCGATTTTTAAAATATTTTGTGCTTTTTAAAAGGCTACAGAGGCACAGAAATAAAACCAGGAGGGTGAGGCTGGGGGGTTCTCCAGGTTCTCCCCTCCCTCCATTTGGGGGCAGCAAGTTTTTCCCTGGAATTCAGCATTCCTTATGAGATGGAAAAGAATATTTTCTCTTTTCCTCTGGAAAAGAACCCCAGAATCCCATGGAAAAGAGCTTAAAGCTCACATGGCCCATGGAAGGTGTCCCTGTCCGTGGAACTGGATGGGATTTCAGCTCCCTCCCAACCCAAACCGGCATTGAAAATCTATGGGATTCTATCAAGAATAATTAATAATAATTAATTGCCAACTGATAAAAAAAAATTAACATTTTATTTAAAAAATAAAATCAATTAATAAAACAAAATTATATTAATTAATAAATTAATAATTATTTTTATAAATAAAATTAATAAATTAATTTTATAAATAATATAATGTTATAAATAATAATTTTACAAATTATATAATGTTATAAATATTAATTTTATAAATATTAATTTTATAAATTTTATAGCTTTTATAATAAATAATTTTATAATAATTTTTATAAATAATTTTTTAAATAAAATCAATTAATAAAATAAAATAACTTCAAAATAAAATTTAAAAATCAATTTTCCAGACATCTTTGCCCCCTTTAAAAATAGGAAAAGCCTTTTTTCCTAAAGAAAAACAGTGGGAAAAGCCTTTTTTTTTTCCCCTAAAGCAAAACAATGGGAAAAGCCTTTTTTTCCTTAAATCAAAACAATGGGAAAATCCTTTTTTTTCCCAAAGCGAAACAATGGGAAAAGCCTTTTGTTTTCCTAAAGTAAAGCAATGGGAAAGGCCTTTTTATCCCAATGCAAAACAATGGGAAAAGCCTTTTTTTTTTCCTAAATTAAAACAATGGGAAAATCCTTTTTTTTTTTTTTCCCAAATCAAAGCAATGGGATGCATTTCCCATCCTCCTCCCTGAGCAGCAAACGGCTCCAGCTTGGAGAATCCTCAAGGGAAAACTCGTAGTAGCAGCTGCTGATTAAAATATTGCCAATATTTTGATAAGGTAGCAAAGCTGGGGGGGTGTGGGCTCCCCAAGCCAGCCAGAGCTGCTATTTGAGGAAAACAGGGCACCAGGAACGCTGCAAATATTTGTAAACCCAAAGCGTGGCAAACGCTTCCCATCCCTATCAGGAACCGGGGAGAAAGTGGAGCAGCGTCTCAAAAAATAGCAGGAGAAAGTGAAGCTTCTCCCTAAATTTATCCCCCCCCCCCGGACAGATTCTCAGCTGATTTAAATTGTCTCTTCCACTGACTTCAACAGGCTTCAAAAAAAAAACCCCAAAAACCTGAGATTTTTGCCAAGCAGCTTCCAAAAGTGGGGTTTGGGAAGTGCCGGGGATGGGAGGAATGTGGATTTTGTGGCAGGGATGTTTGTGCGGCACAGGGAAGCTTTGGACCACTCTGTTTTCAGGTTCCTGGAAGTAAAAATCACTTTTATCCAGCAAATTCCTGCCTGAAGGGGGGTAAAGGATTGGGAGAGCTGCAATCTCCCAATGTCATTCTGGAATTTCTGGGTTATTCATTCATTTCTCCCTCTGTGCAGAAAGCACAAAGATTGTCACTCCACGGGGTTAGAAACTTCAAATTTTCAAATTTAACAGCCTCTGTTGTTGATAATGGGAAGATTCTTGTTTAATTCACCTGATTTTGTTTCAAAAACAAGACAAAAATCTGCTTTTCACACAGTTTTTATGATGCTGCTTTAAAACCTTAAACCGTTTATCCTCCTTATACACAGTCCCAGCACTTTAAGAAATAACCATAAATAAGAGTTACAAATGATCCCAATAAATCTGAATTTCAGCAAGAACAGGAAAACTTCCCCACTCTGCCTTGTTCCCAAATGATATTTTCCCACATTTTGGGGAGTTGTGGGTTCCTGGCACATTCATTTGGTGGGATTAATTCAAATTAAAACTAGTATCTCTAAATCTGGGGGGAGAAAGAGATATGGAAAAAACCAGGAAAGCCTGGGGAAAAATTTGAATGAATGTCAGATAAAGATGTGATTTTTTCATACTGTATTTACAGAAAAAATCAAATTACACTTGGAATTCAAAAGACTGAGAAAATTCCATTTTAGGGAAATTCCTAAGAGGAAGTTCTTGTGGGTGAAAAATGTGTTTTTCTCCCAAGTTTTTTCCCCAATATCTAATTGGGAAGCCAAACCAGATATTTTCAATTATAACTGCACCAAAATCTTGTTTTCACCCCTTCATTCATTACCCAGAAGGAAAATCTTAATTAAGGAAGATCCTTCCTGTGTCCGTTTCTCCTTTTAATGGAAAATTTTAACCAGGCTGTCCTTGGTTTTAATTTATGAAAAGAAAATTTATCCAATTTCCCCTTTATCAAGGAAAATATTGGAGCATTGATAGGAAAATATTATACAAAATAGGAAAATTTAATTTTTACACAATTGAATGCACAGAAATCCTTTTGTAACTTAAATTGTGGCAGCTAAAAACCCCAGAAATTCAGCCCAGCCTGAGGGATTTGGAGGAAAAGGCAAAGCAGAAAATTCCTACATTCCATTGCCCACAACAGGTAAAGCAAAACAACAACTTTTCAAGGGAAAAATCTGAATTTTGACAGCAAAAAGAATGAATAAAACCGGGGGGCTGAAACCAACCCTCGATTTTCACAGGGGTCTGTTTCGGTACAGTCAGAGCCTGAAAGAATCACGAATTAAAACCAGAATTCAAAACCAAAACTGGTTTCGGTTTTAAGGCTGAAAACAGCAACATTTTAAGGCTGAAAAACTGAGCGAGATAAAATGAGTGATTTTAACAAGAGGAAAATCAAGGAAAAAGGAAAATAAACCCCAGCCCATCATCATCATCATCATCCTCTTGTCCATGGAGTCCTTCCATTCCTGACTCCAGGCAGCAGGAGAAGGACGAGGATGGAATATTTTGGAAGATTGCAAAGAGGGAGCTGGAAAATCTGATGATTTCAGGGATTTCAGCCTGAAAGCCCCACGGAGCAGAGCAGCCCAAACAAAGGAGAGCAGAGGAGATCAAAGCGCTGAGGAGTCACACGTTGTCACCGGGGATGGAGTGTCCCATTTCTGGCTGCTTTCAGCCCATTTCCCCAGTTTCCCCAGCGAACACATTCCCTGGGAGCTCACACAAACACTGAAATATCTCCCCTCTGTCCTGGTTTTTAGATAATTATCATTTTTTTTAGGCCTTCCCATACCATTCACTGTGCAATCCCTGTTTTTCCTATCAGGACCTGCTCCAGCCTTTCCCATTTCCCAGATGAGCTCTCCCCCTTTTTTCACCCCTAAACTGATTTTTTTGGGGGTTTGAAGATCCTGTTGGACTCCTGAGAGCAATCAGGAATATTCTGATTTTATTCTGATTTTTTTCTTTTACTTTTGGAGGAGTCTGGAATCTGCCCCGTGGCACAAGAATCCCTTGGGCTTGGGGAGAATTCCCTGATAAATACGTTTGGATCCATGGCTCCCAAATATTTCACGTCCCTCAAACTCTCCCATCCCTCATTCCCAGCTGGAGAGCTCCTGATTTATCCCCAGATTCCCACTGGTCCCTTAGGATGTGACTTTGCACATTAAATCCCAAATTTTGACTGTGCTGCCTTCCAGAATGCCACAATCCCGCCCATTTTCTGGGCACTGCAACTTCTCCTTCCCAAGAAGCAAATTAATCCTGAAGTCCAGGAGAAATCCTATTTTTCTGGGTGTTTTTTTTTCCCTGCATCAGGACTTGCTCCTTTGGAAAGGATCCATTGGATGTCATTTTTCCAGCAGGTCCTGCAGGAAAACAATTCCTGCTGCCAAAAAAACCCCAAAGATCTGCAGAGAGCCGTGAGTCAGAGGATGAGAACAGCAAATCCAGGGAATTTCTCAACCCTCCAGACCCCTGGTGCTGAGTCACCAGGCCCCAGGGAGGTCCCTGCAACCCCGCAATTTTCCAGAGGAATTTGGGAACAAATCCCCCAGAACCTCGGGAAGGTTTTCCTCTGCCCAGGGGTGGGAATTGGAAAAACAAAAACTTCCCCAGACACCAAAAGATTGGATGTACAGCCCTAGAGTAAACTTAGATTAATGCAAAAATACAAGACACAGACATTAAACATAAAGCAAAAATACAAGATACAGACATTAAACATAAAACATAAAGAAAAAATACAAGATAAAACATTAAACATAAAGCAGACACAGACATAAAACAGAAACATAACGAAACCATCAAATTATGTTTCTATAGTTATATGCCTTAAGTAAGTGAGAAACTGTATTAATAAAATAGTGAAGAGTTTATAATATAAAAGTGTAGTTTTATAAAGTTAAGAGTTTAAAAGTTAGAATAGGAATGTGCATGTAAGTTAAAAACCCATTAGACAAAAGTATCCACAGTACAACATAAGTAAGTAAGTGATAAGTTGGAAAAGTAGAATAAACCCTGGAACAACTGATTAGTTTTAAAAATTATATATTATAGAAATTATAACATGTAATATATATTATATATTATAATATATATAATTATATAATATCATATACTATATAATATTGTATAATATATATTATTATAATAGATCTATAATATAATAGAATATATTTATATTATAATATAGATATATATTTTATATTATAAATAATAATAGATGTATTATAAATAAAAATAGATGCTAATATAATAATATAAAAATAATAGTATATATTTTTAGATTGATATGATATGATATGATATATGATATATAAATTATATCTATTATAATGAAGAAACCTGTAACTACTCCTCAGCTATAACCAACAACTCACTCCTTTAAAATCTCACAATCTCTGAGACTACTGTTTATCTAAACAATAAATAATTTTTAACTTAAAAATAATCCCACCCCTCCACTAAAAACAACAATAATAATTTATGGTGCATCGTGTGAGGGATCAACCCAGGGCTGGAATTTACTTTTGAGAACTTTTTGTCCACTTAAGCCCCACTTAACTTAAATAATCCTGAGCAGAAGGGACTCGGTATCCTGCTGGCACAGAAAAGCCCAAACCATTTAATTCTGGACAGACCATGAGGATAAAATATTTCCCTGAGGGTGTTTTCAACACTTCAGATGAGTCCTTGGTGAGGAAAACACTGCCACAGCCTCGCTGACCAGGGTTAGCTCATCTGGTGCTTCCCAATTTTGTTTATTGATCTTAAAATAGCAGATATTTATCTTAAAATGTCTGATAATTATCTTAAAATATCAGATATTTATCTTAAAATATCAAATTTTGGCTTTTGAGTTACACTTAGCTGATCAACCAATGTCCATCTTCCCTTATATCATGGAATTGCTAATTGTTTTTTTTTTTGCTAAAAACCTTCAGTAGAATTTATTTTATAAATGAAAACCAAAAACCAACTCATAACAGAAACATCACCACTGCATTGCTACGAATCCAGATATTTGGCACTTTTGGAAATTCCAGGTGAATCAATGTAAATACCCCAGCACTTACTTTGGTAGAGTTTTCAAGTGGTTTTCTCTTAACTCCAAAATTCGCAATTTGACAAGTCTGGAAATAGGAGAGAAAATAATTAATGCATTTGAAGAGTCCATCAGAATAGTTTGAAATGATTTCTTCTTATTTTAAGAAGAAGTGGGATTTTATGTTTTTATGCAAAATAATCAAAATCCAGTTCTTGTGGGGGAAAAATCAGAGCCAAATAATTTCACGTAATGTCTGCCCTGATCTGAATTCTCCTGAAAAGCTCTGGCATTTATCAGGTTTTCCCAGCAATTTTAAATTGATTTTATTAGTGCTTCCCACAAGACAAACACAGGAAAAGCTGGGAAGTTTGGAAGAAACAAACAAAAAAAAAAAAAACAAACAAGAAAAAAACAAGAGCAAGGTTTGTAAGTGTAAGGTCCCAAATAGATGAGACAGGAGGGAAAAAGCAACAATAACAAAGGAATTAGAGTCACTGAGTTGATATAAAATCAGCAGAATAATAATAATAGTAATAATAATAATATTAATAATAATAATATTAATAATAATAATAGAAGTAATAATATATACATAATAATATAAAAATAAAATATAATAATAGAAGAAATAAAAATTAAAAAAATAAAAAAAATAAACAAAATAAAATAAAATAATAATAATAGTACCCCAACATTTTTATCTCCCCAGGCCTGAGCAGCCCAGTGTCACTCCCAGCAGGAGTTGGTCACATTTTGTCATTTGGTTTGGAGAGATGAGCAAATGTTCCCTTAGATAATAAACAAAAAAATAAATAATAAATAATAAATGAAATAAATAAAAATAAATAAAGTCAATAACAATAAATGAAATAAATAAAAATAAATAAAATAAAAAAATAAAAATAACTTAAATAAATAATAGAACTTTCACCCAGGTGGCCGCAGGGACCAGCCTAAAGCTGGGCTTGGTGAATTCTGTCATAAAACCAGAGCTTTTCTCTGCTATCTTTTGTCTCCTGAGCTCCTTGCCCAGGAGCCAGTCCAGGGCAGAATTCCCAGCAGTTCCCAGTGGGATAAATTCCCCATTTCTGCCAGGGCTGTGCAGGGTGGGAACCCCCAGCTCCTGAGGGAATTGGGTTCACTCCATGACCACTGGGAAAAGAGAAGCTTGCGGGGGCAGGACAGGTGTTCTGAAGGGTTTGCTTTGATTCTTACTATGTTTTTTCCCATTTTATTACTGTTAATAAAATGTTCTTTACGCCCTTTTAACGTTCTGAGCTGCTTTGCCTTTCTCCTAATCCTGTCCCGAGCAGGAGGTGGAGTGGTGCCCTGGCGGCTGGCAGCACTGAACCCACCACACCAGTCGGTGCCTTGGCTGGGACATCTAAAGAGCTGGTGAAATCTCTAATCGGAGAGCCAAACCCAGTGCACCCTGCTCCCACCACCTCTGCTCTGTCCTCACCTGACATTCCTGGCTCTGCTGCTGCTGGGTTTATTTTTGCCCTCTCTCCCCGCCCTCCTGCCCTGCCGTCTCTGGGCTCCTCTGCCTGGTTCTGCTCCCACGCTCCACCTTTGCCTGCTCCAGCCCCCTCAGCCACCTCTCCCTGCCCTCCCGAGCCACAGCTCTGCACCCTCCTGTCCCTTTGTCACCAGGAGGGGACCTGAGAGGAGCCTGCTGCCCCTGGCCCTGCCACAGCTGAGTCACTGCACGGGGATGCTGCTCCTCACCTCTCCCCAGCCTCCATCACCTCCCCACCCCATCCTGCCGACACTCACAAGAGCACGGCTGAAAAGCCAAAATCTCTGGGTTTTGTGCTCAGTTTTTCAAGGGGAGCCAGCTTTGAGCCGGTCGCTCGGAGCCTGAGCCGGGTTCAGGGACAGGAATGTGCTGTGGTGACTCATCCTTACCTTCCAAAGTTAGCTGGAAGAAACTCCAAAAAGGCATCGTTTAGATAGAGCTGGGTCAAATTTAGAAGTTGTGTGAAGCCATCTGGCAGCCTAAAAAAACAGAGCAAACCTTAATGCTCACCCCGAGTTGCCATGGAGATAATAACAATGTATATTTAGCAGCAGAAAGGTGACTTTCTCTCTCACCTACTTCTTCTACCCAAATTCTCCTGAAGAACTCACTTTTAACAGACATTTTTGCCCATTCCCATCTTCTCTGCATTGCTACAAGCAGCAAATGCAAAGGCCTGGCACATTCAGGGGACAGCAGCCTTTGCTCCCTTCCTGCTTGAGGGATTTAAACTAAAGGCTAGGCTCTTCTCTTCTCTTCTCTTCTCTTCTCTTCTCTTCTCTTCTCTTCTCTTCTCCCTTCCTCTCTTCTCTTCTCTTCTCTTCTCTTCTCTTCTCTTCTCTTCTCTTCTCTTCTCTTCTCTTCTCCCTTCCTCCCTTCTCTTTCTCTCTTTTCTCTTAAACTTTTTCCTTTTCTCTCCTTCTCTCCTCTTTTCCTCTCATTCTTTGTCCCTCTCCCTCTTCTATTTCTCTCTATTTTTTTAAACTGAAATATCAACATTTCATCCTTTCTCCCCTTCACTCCATTTTGTAAATCCTGGATTTACAACTCAATTTTTGTTGCTATTTTTGCAAGATTTTGGAAGGAATAAGGAATAAAGGCTGGCCAAGTGTCCAGGAGAAGCCTCACCCCTGTGCATGGAGACTGCCCAGCCTGACTGGCATTACCAGAGTACTCAGATCTCAGACAAACCCACTCTGGGTTTAAACTAGAAACAAATTTAAATTGTTTAAATTCAAACAATTAGAAAGACATTCAGATTAAGCGTGAGCTCATTTTGTGTCCTTGGAATGAGCAAAACGAGCTCCTGGTACTCACTTGGACACGGGGTTGACGCTGGCTTCGATTATGGTTAAACACTTACAACACTTAATGTTTTCTGGGAAATCTTGGATTCCTAAAAAAACATGGAAAGAGTATTAGATGCACAAAAATATTTATTAGACACAGACATTGCCTACACAAAAACTGTTCAGCCTGGTCTGTTCATAAGTGCTCAGCTGGGATTTCCAGCTCAGACTTCAACTCGAGCAGGAAGGAAACACAGTTTGGAATTATCATCCAAAAGGTGATGCTCAAGCCCTAAATAAATACATGAAAATACAAAATTATAACTTTTCTGATAGTGTTTGGTTTATATAATGTTCTAGAATTAACAGTGACATAATTTGTGCCGAGATTTGTGCCTTCATCCTTTCCCAAACTGCTTTTCTCTCACAGCCTCCAGACCTCCACCGACAGGAAATTTCCCAATGTTTCCAGGAGTTCCTAAGCCTCATTTTTTAAAAACAAAGACCCTCGAGCTCAGGCAGCAAAGGTTTTTAGGCCCATTGATATGAAAATGGAATGAAAATTCCCAGATTTGGGAATGCACAGCAGCAAACCAGCCCAGATAAATCTTGGGAATTGTTTAAACACAAGAGCCCAGCGAGCTCTGAACCCTTTTGGGAGTGGAATGCTCCTAAGTGCATGGAAAACTGGCCTCACATTCTTACTCCCAGCTGGGCAGAAGCCCCCAGAGCACAGGACACTGAAGAAAACCCAATTTTTTAAAGGAAAAACCAGAGCTGGGTTTGCACAGACCCTCCCCTAAAGCACCCTGCGCGGAACCTGAGAGGGAGCGCGAATTTCCGCGCCACGAGGAGCCAAAACTCCATCTCAGCTCCTGTTTTTTTGGGGGATGCTGGGGAAGGGGAGCCCTCACCATTCTTGCTGATGTCGAGCTCACGGAGGTTGACCAGGCTGGCGATGGACGTGGGGAGGCTGGACAGGTCGTTGTCGGGGATGCTCAGCTTGCGCAGGGCCTGGCAGTTGAACAGTTGCTGTTCCGGGGTTCCATGAGGGAGAAGAAATAAATCCATTTGGGATCCTTACTGACACACAATCAGCACAAACACCCCCCGGCCACAGCAGAATCCCACCCTCCCAGGGGGATTTTTGGGAAGGCATTCCCATGGCTGGCAGGGATTGTGGTATTTGCTGGGTCCCCAGGATGAAGGAGGAAACGATGGATCTGACTCCATGCTCTTAGAAGGCTAATTTACTATTTTATGTAAAAGAATGCTATCCTAAAACTATACTAAAGAATAGAGAAAGGATCCTTACAGAAGGATCCTTAACAAGATACTAATAAAAACTTAACAAGATGCTAATTAAAAACTCATGACTGACTCCTCAGAGTCTGACACAGCCTGACCGTGATTGGCCGTTGAGTCAAAACAATTCACATGTTGGATAAACAATCTCCAGCCACATTCCAAAGCAGCAAAACACAGGAGAAGCAAATGAGGTAATATTGCTTTCCTTTTGCTCTGAACCTTCTCAGCTTCCCAGGAGAGAAATCCCGGTGAAAGGATTTTTCAGAAAACATGAAAATGACAGGGGATAAGATAAACAGCTTAGGGACAGCAGGGATGTTCAAAACTACTCAAAACCTGTAAATTCACTGCAACCAATATCTTGTGATTCTGATATCATTGCATATAATTCAGTTTATTGCTGCGTTTCATATTTATCATAAAAATTCCTAAGTTTTTGTGCCTCCTGGTAAATCAAAATATTCAATTTCATAATTAAATTTCACGGCAGATTTTGAAATACTATGACTGCATTCAGATTAAATAATTATCCTCAAGATGCAAAAATGCTTTGGCATTATCCAAAACATACTTTCTTGAAACCCCTGCCCAAAATTCAGGACTCAATTCTAATTTTTCCATCGAATTCCAATTTTATAGAAGTGGATTCCCAGTTTTCACCAGGAATTCCTTTGGGAGCAGAGGAAGGCTTGGAACTTCCAGTTCTGACCACATCTGGACATACCCAAGGCTTTGAAAGTGCTGGAGGGAGAAGCCCAATTAAAAATCTTCCCTCTGGAATGATTTTATGAAGCATCAGAAGGAACATGAGCCATGGAATGAAGTCCCAAAATTGCTTTTTTTTCAACCACTGGATGCTTAACAGATATTTTTCCCAGTTTCCAGAGCTTCCTGGCCATCAGGATTTTGTTGGAATCACCATTCCCTCTGCCCATGAAACAACTTTAATTCCTCTCAGACCAAATCCAAGTGATGCTACCGTGCTCTGAGTTATGAAATCAGGGTTTTATTCTGCACCTCTGGGGAGAACTCCAGCCCACTCATGTTTCTCTGGATGCTGATTCCAATGACTCCACTCTCATCCAGATCAATTTTCCCTTTATTAGTCATCAATTCACTTGACTCACAAAGGATTTTTTGCAGCAGGAGAATGAAGTCAAAGGCAAAGAGAATAAAAAGACTTGGCTGAATTTAGCCAAAAAAAGAGTTAGAAGTATGAAAACATCTTGTAAATTCTTAAAAAAAACAGAGAAATACAAGAAATGAAGAACTGAAAATCAGCAGGGAAAAAATCATCAGTATGATACTTCAATGGAAAGCAAAAATAAGATCAGGCAGAATGAGTTTAAGGCATCAGTTCAATGTAAAATAATTTACTGGACTTTAGAGCATCACGTGAAACTAAAGTAGACCTGGACTTAACTAAATTGTTTTCTCATTAAATAATAAAACATGATCAAGAGTTTTGATTCAAAAGAATTTTGTAATATGAGGGGCACAGAATATTTGGCAAAGAACAGAGAATGACCAAAAATTTCCTCTGGAATAAATTCTTTGAAAACACATTTGCAGAGGGAGAAGAGAGTGGTAGAATTAAATGTAAAACACAAAAGTTCATGTTAAGTATTACAGTGCCAGTTTCATGGGGGAAAAAAGAAGGCATTTTCTCTCCTGGAATATTAATTCAGAGATGAAAAAAAAAAAAGCCTTGAGTTCTGCAGCAAAAACACCTCGAGCAGAAAATTTGATAAAGGAATTATTTCAGCTGTTGAATTCCTGGTTACAATTAATAAAGGCTTAAGACAAAAACCGATGAGTGCTATTAACACTGCCATTAATCTTCTCTTCCACGTGGCCAAGATTATGTTAAACTCGATTTACTCTAAATTTAAATTATCACCTTCATCCCAGCTTCACCATTTTGGACCTCTTCCCTTGGGTCCTCATCTTTTCCATACAGCATCTTGCTCTGATATATTTGTTTTTGGAAACACTTTGATCATTCCAAGAGGCCCAACCCAAATATCCCAAAAATCCCTCCCTAAATGAGAGACTTCCAGTATTCCTCAGTAGCAGAAGGAAAAGAAGGGAATTATTATTATTATTATTATTGTTATTATTATTAATAATAATAATAATAATAATAATATCAATATTAATATTAATATAAAAGGAAGAAGAGAAAGAAGAAAAAGAACAAGAAGAAGGAGAATAAGGAGAAGATGGGACCTCAGGGCTTCCTGAGCAGGTTTTCCCCAGGATCCATTTAGGATTTTGGGGATTTTTGGGGATAGAGCCCAGCTGGTTCTGTGCTGTGTCTCCAGGAGAGCTCAGGCAGCTCTCCACAGCATTTTTCCATGAAAATAAAGGGATTTTGGTGGCCCTGCCCCACCATCTGTTCAGAATTCCTCCACAGAGTGAGACCTCTCAAGCGATGAACCATTCCGTCCCAGCAAAGCAACCCCATGGCATGGAAAAAGCCCATTTTGTACTTCTGTAAATGAATTTTTTACAAAGTCTCTGTGCAGCAAAACCGGGAAATTTGCTGTGAGATGATGGAGAATGGAGCAATGTTTAATTAAAGATTTGCAAGCATCTTTCATTATTGTGCAGAAAAAATTCCATTAAGGCCTGGATCCCGTCCCTTCACGCTTCATTATGGAGCCAGCACCTGCCACTAATTGGTTTTTCCACCTTCCCCCCCCTTTGTTTCCAGAACATTTTGGTTACTGTAGCTTTTAATTCCTTATAGCAAACATTGATCAGCAGGAGAGTGGATTGGAAGGTTCCAGAAGGGGAATTTTACAGGGGAAGGATGGCTTGGATGATCTCAGGGTTTATGAGAAGAGTTAGGAAAAAAACTCCTCTCAGGAGTCATGAAACTCCTTCTTGGACAGTTGGCATTCCCAGGAATATCCTACAGGGATAAAGGGCTGATCCTGACACAGGGGACAGCCTTGATATTCCCAGGAATATCTTACAGGGATAAGGGCCTAATCCTGAAGGAAACACAGGGCTGGAAAGGATCTACAGACGTCAGTGACTCCTGATCCAGGTACTGGGTACCACAGGAATTTCCAGGGCCAGAACCATTTATTTTGCAGAATTTGTTTTTCCCAGTTCCAGGCTCCAAGCTGCCCCATTCCCATGCTGTGAAGAAGGAGCAGGAGCCCCTTCTCCTCCCAGCCCAGCCCCGATTCCAAGGAATAACCCTGGAGCCCCCATCTCTACCTCTCCCCAGCAGCTCCAGCAGCCCCAGAGCCGGGCCCACGCCTCAGCTTTGCCCTGGCAGCCCAGCAGGACGTGGATTACCTTGGGAAGCTCCTCAATCTGGTTGGCATCGAGGTAGAGCTCCTCCAGGGTCCTCTCGAAGTTGAAGACCTCCTTTGGCACCTGCTGCAGGCCGCAGTGGGAATAGTCCAGCACGGAGACGATCTCCTCCTCGCCGCGGAAACACCGGCACGGCACCAGGCGCCCGATCAGCTTCCTTTTGCTGGTCATCTCCAAGCAGCATACTGGGGCAAACAGGGAGGAAAATGGGATTTCAGCAGCCTTTTGGGGGAATGTTCTTGGGAGTTATGCTCTGGATTGCAGCTCATGAAAAGCAGTTTTGCCCGGGGATATCCAGAGTGCACACTGTGTAGTGTCTGTGGCACCTTGCTGGAATGGAAGGTGGGATTTGGAGTGCAAGGAGAGAACCTGAACCCTGCAGCTGTTCCCTGCCCTGGGATGGAAGGGAACACACCAATCCCAGCCACAAGCCTGGCTGTAATGGGAAAATTGGAATCCAAACCCACCCATGGAAGCACAGAGCCAAGGCCGGTCCCTGGCCCAGAGCTGGCAGGGATGCAGGTGGAGGCACCTGGGTGGGATTCCCATGGGAAATGGGAATTATCCCTGGATCCCCCACACCAGCAGAGCTCCCACTGCTGTTCCCAAAGGTTCCTGCAGCAGGTGAGGAAAGCAGGGATGGAACCCTTGGCTACAGAGCAATCCCAAACCACTCCTGCTCCACCCGTGCCACCAGGCTCTGCTGGAAGCTCCAAGAGGCGATTTAGCAAAACTCATTCCTTTTCCTGAACTAAAATAGGTATCCAGAACTGTTCCCAAACTTCTCCCACCCTCAGTCCCAGTGGTGCAGCCCCTCCTCACCCCCAGAGTGTGTGAGCACCCCTAACTCAGGGAGTAACTTTACACAGTGCCCCCCTATTCCTTGTGGAACAAAACCACTTCAGGATGGGGGGAACGCTCCAAAAGCAGATTGGGAACACATCAAGCAGTCCCTAAATCCATCCTGGACACCTTTAGGAGTTACTTAAACACTCTGGATAAACCAGGCTGTCCTGAAACCCATTTACCACAAAGGCAAGGAGGGCTCAGCCTTCAACTCCCATTTTCCAAACCACTCCCAAGGTTCTAAGCTAGATTTAGGAAAACAATGCACTAAATTAATCCAAATAAAGCAAAATAAGGTTTTTGTAGCAAGCACCAGTATGGAATGGAAGGACCTGGGCTATGATTGAAAGGAGAAGAATTTCACGCCCTGTGGGCTTGTGGTAATTAAACTTTTTATTAATTTCAGCATTATTAATTCCTACCCTGGACTAATTCCAGCTCTGGTAATTACACTTTCCTTCCCTGCATTTTGCTCTCTCCTGATGTTCAGAGATCCTTTCCTTGGTGCTGGTGGTTGCTGATGGAAAAGGCTCAGGGACACAGCAGCTTCATCCATCCCTTAATCCCTGCAGGGGATTCCTCATCCCTCTCCCACTCCCCTGGGAGCACCAGAGCTTGGTGCTTCTCCCCATTTCAGAACTGAAATTCCCCACAGCCGGGTCCTGAGGTCACTGCCCCACGTCACAGATTACACAGGAAAATCAGAGCCTCCAAAAGAGCTCAAAAATCAGATTATTTCTTGAATAAAGACAGACAAATGAGGAAAGCAGCATAAAATAACCTGCTCCTTTTCAGCTCCAGCAAGCAGCTCATTATCAGCTCCTGCAGTTTATTGTCTTATAAAGAAACTCCTTCAGCTGAGGAAAACAGGAGCTTTATGGAAATCAATTACAATAAGTTACAATCCCTCCTCAATTCATGGACCTTTTGTGCAGGAAAACACTAATCCCTGTTTATCAGGAGCCACAGGAGAAGACATTTCCCTCACCTGCTGGAAAGACAGAGAAAACTGCTGCAGGCTCACCCAGCTGATTTAAAGATGGGATGAAACAGCTCAACAGATTCCAACACTCCAAATGCCTTGAATGGGATTCCTGGCTGGGATGGGATTCCCAGAGCAGCTGTGGGTGCCCCTGGATCCCTAAATTGTCCCAGGAGCAGCCTGGGGCAGTGGAAGGTGGGATGGGATGGGATTAAAGATCCCTTCCAGCCCCAATTCTGGAATTCTGGGCTCTCCTGAAGAGTCCAGCAGTGGGTGCAGGACAGGGGTGGTGAAAATGCTGCTACAGAAACCTCCAGAAGCGGCCTCTGAGTGATTGGCAGGAGAAATCAATTTCTAATTTGCTGGTTTGCAGGATGCACCAATGATGGATTTAATTTTTCTCCCAAACAGGTTTTCCACAGAACACTTCACGGAAGGGCTGGCGTCTCAGGGAGTTGTTGCAGTGCCAAAATTCAATAAATACCCTGAATAACCAGAGCCAAAGGCAGCAGGTTCTGGGCTCTCAGGGACCAGCCTGAGCTGTCTTGACCAAACATCAAACCCCTCCTGCCCTTCCAATTCCATTCAGAAATCTCCAAGAAATCCCACCTGCAGGGACCTGGCAGAGCTAGAAAGTTACTAAAGAGAAATGCTGAAAACAGAGAACTTGGGAGTGGGGATGGGAGCGTGGCAGGGCTGGAATGAGCAGTAAAACATCTGTCAGAGGGTTCAGAAAATAGGGATTATTTCCAGAGCAGCAGGGAATTCTCCTCAGTGCCTCCTTTGTCACACATCTCACACAGGGATGGTTTCCCTGCTCCTGTTTTCCTTCTCTTTTAGCAGCACAATCCACACCATTAATATGGAATTACTTCCCAGCGTTCCATCTAAAACTCCAACAAAGAATCCAATCTGAACCTCCTGTTCTCTAAAGCACATTCGTATTTTCTCCAAATCCCATAAAGGACTTGTTTGGAAAGCAGGAGCCCTTTGTGGAGCATTCACCAGGACTCCTGAGGGTTTCCAGGGCAGCTTCTCCCTCCTCTGACCCAAGGAAGGCACTGGCAATTTCCCAGTTTGTCCCAATACCCCAGAATTTACATTTTCTCTGCCAAAAGAGATTTGATAACAGGGACTACACATGAGAAATGCAACAAAGCTGAGCTACAGGTTGGAATTAAAAAAGAAAGCAACCCTCAAATTTCCAAAAGCCCAAAGCCTTTTCCCCATGGATATTCTCCTGGCACTGGCCAGACATCCACTTGTGTTTCCTTTCTTCCCTTTAATGAATTCTGTGGGCTGCCTGGCTGATTTCCACAGTGTCCAGTTGCAGTCTGGGTCACTGCAATAATTAGGGAACTTCAAAGCTCCCGGAGCCCTCTTCATTTCCAGCATCACATCTCAATTAGAAGCACAGCCCTGCTCATAATTCAGAGCCCTGCAGGAACGGAGGAAGGTTCTCTCCGCATTTACAACCACGTGGAACCTCTCCACAGCTCTGCCACCTCCTCACCCACATTTTGGATTTTAAATTCGCTGCTCACCTTTCTGTGAGCTGCAGCTTTGTGGGCACCAGCTTTGCACGAACGCTGGGAGCTTTCAGCGCTTGGTTTCCTTGCTCTGGCAGTTGTGTAACTCTCACTACCCCTACCTTGTATTCCTCATTCCAAACTTTTGTCTGCAGCTGTAATCCCGTGCTTGTGACATGGGAATTGTGCTTATGTAAGCTCTGACATCAGTCCTTGATGCTGTTTTGCATTCCCCCCCCCATTTTCCCATTCAGAAAAGGCCTCTGACGAGGTGGAAGCTGCTTATTCTCTGCCTGAAAAACAGCGTTGCTCTTGCTGAAAAATCTGCTTGATTCCTTCCAAGGGGAAGGAGCATTCCCAGCCTGGATGCTGCCCCTCTTTATATTAAAATATTTAAACTTCATATTCTGAAATAAAATTTGTGCTCAGAGGCTCAGAAGTTAGGCAGTGAGTAAAACCTCAGTTATCACAGACATAACACATATAAATAAACATGCATTTTCACATATATGATCCCATCAATCTACCTTTAGCAAAGCCAGCTGCCCCCAGTATTTGACACCTGCTATTTATGAATTGATGCCTTGATTAAAACGCGTGTGCTCATGCAGGTATGGAATTTTGATATAAACTCTGCCACAATAACAAAGCCTGTTTACTATGATTTACTCTAGTTGCCCCCAGCCCTGTCCCTGGAGCTGCTGCAAAGAGCCCAGGGTGAGCAGAGGGATGGAGCAAGGGGGACAGAACCCAGGGAAAGGCTTTCCACTGGCAGAGGGCAGGGATGGATGGGGTTTTGGGAAGGAATTCCTGGCTGGGAGGATCCAGAGCAGCTGTGGCTGCCCCTGGATCCCTGGCAGTGCCCAAGGCCAGGCTGGATAAGGCTCAGAGCAGCCTGGGATGGTGGGAAGTGTCCCTGCCCATAGCAGGGGGATGGAATCTTTGATGTCCCAAAAAAACATCAGAGGGGATCAGTCCCAGGTTGGGCTCAGGGACCTTGGAAAGCTTTCCCAGCCTCAGGAATCCTGGGATTCTCCATGGGAAGTCTCTCCATTTCATCCAAATTCCACTTTTCCACACCCTTTTTAGAAACAAGAAGCATTTTGTCCCAAACCTCCCCCCTGAGCCAGGTGAGGGAGGCAGGATTGTCCCTGTTCTGCTCCTAATTGGAAATGCAAAATTAGGGATTTATTCTGGCTGTAGAAGCCATTGGTAATAATCTTCATTAACCTTCCTGAAAGATTAAGGAGCTCTGGCTCTAAAGTCACAATAACAGAATTATTAGGGAGCTTCCAAAGGGGAATTGGTCTTATCAAAGAGAGGGGTGTGCAATACTATCTGAATTGTTTTCCTGCACAGAAATTCCCAGATAAGCAGCATATCTCCCCCAGAAATGCCATTTAATGCTGGTAATTGAATTCTCTTCATTATGCCCCCATTACAATGGTCTGCATTCAGGTTCACATTCAGATTTGGCTAATCCTAAAATAAAATAACCAAGCATGAAAAATCAGATTTGAGGTTTTGTCTCTGGGGAATATTAATGAGGGGAAGTGTCCCTGGCTTTGCTGCAAGTCCTGGGAGGTCCCTGGAGACCTGAGCACCTTGAGGTCTGGGAACGGTGCAGAAAAAGGGTGAAGGAAAACTGAACAATTATTTCTACCAAGTATCAGTTTTGAATGACCGGACCTTACACCTCTGGGATATAAAGGCAAACCTTCATCTTTTCGGATAAGATATTAATTGGTTCCAAAGGTTACTATTGGCCTTGACTTAAAATTCCCATTTTCCTTCCTTGAAATTCCTTCCTGAAGGAGCTTTTCTGAGT